CAGAGGGGTGTTAGGACTCCATACAGAGATTGCTAAAGGAATCTAAGGCATATAATTGAGAGGTGGGTATGTTTATAAACAGGAAAATCAATTAAAAAAGGATTTTCCCAGTTTTAAACCATGGCATTACGAATATTTTTCGATTAGATGCACCTTAATGTAAGAGTGCCACTGTTAAAAAAGTGTGTATCTAAATAAATAAATAAATAAATAAAATACTTTGGCCCAGTGAATATGCCAACTGGCATGTCACCTGTGGACTGTTGGGACGTAAAAAGATTTAGATTGGGAAATAAACAAGTGTTAAAAGAAGTAGTCTTGTCAGTTCAAGATGCTCTTGAAATCATATGAAAATCAAAAATATGTCCCATATGTTACCTACTGTCTACCTGATGTGAATAGCTGATTTATCTCCTCTTGCACAAAGGATATACACAAAGGATTGGGTATTGATAAGGTGAACTTTTTGAACACACGTTTCTCTTAAACTTGAGTCATCTAAAAATTCTGACAATTTTACACATCGTCAATGAAATGGTCATCTTTTGAAAGGTAACAATATAATTTGATATAAATATATATGCTTTTCTATATTGTTTTAAAAAACACATCAGACACTTTTTTGTTCTTGGTATCATAAGTTTGAAATGAAATGAAAAATCTATCCGAACCTCATTGGAACAAAATGACATAAACAAAACGTGTTAATGTCTCTCAATATTGTAATTGTACAAAGGAAAGCTTGGTTGATTTAAAAAAGGATACTGTTAATGAAAAAAAGGATAAAAGAAAATGTTGGAAATGCTATTTTCTTCCAACAAGCTTTGGAAAGATATTTTATTTCATTCTCAAGAATTGGTAAAAAGGAACAAAAACCAATTGCACTAAAAACAAAAAAATGTTAACAAAAACAATTATTTTGTTGTCAATCAATCAATATTGCATAAAGGACCGTGTTTATTAGCGACAGAACGCTAGTTACCACTGGTTTTTAGGCTCCCCATTTAGCTTTCCTATGTTGAAAAAAATAGTATATGAATACTGTATAAGTGGTATTTAATCTGAGTGGTTTTTATCATTTTCCTTATTTTAATTTTTCTTATGACAAGAAACTTCCCATTGGATACATTATGAGGATAATGTTTCTGACATTTAATTTTTCAGACCTTCCAAAAATTAGGCAATAGGCAAATTAAATGATTAGGCAAAATTACCACTTACGCAGTATCTGTTTAGCTCATTTGGATCAGTGTTCTTAGTTGTCTCATTTCCAAATGTTTTTCTTGAGAACATATGCATGTTTGTGAAAAGTTCAGATCTATCGACAGGCTTTGTATTCTTTATTCATTTTTGTTTTGTTTCATAAGATCCAACACAAAAGAATGACAATTGATAATGTGAAGAAACTCTACCCATCAACTTCAAAAATCCAAAGTGACACTAAAACTCTCAAAATGACACATCCTGTGTGTCATTATAAACCTTAGTATGTGATCATCTGAGGGACCATTTCAAAAGATCCATGTTACAATATTAACTGCATGAGTCAGGGGGTATAGTGTATTTATTGCATCAATATTCGTAACATAATATCTTCGGTTTTTACCCCACGGAGTAAGTTAAACTGAACATAAACAAAACCAGTTACAACAAATAGTACCTACTATCCCACATATAATTGACTGTCTTACAAAACAAATATGTAAGATGCTTCAAAACTGAATTCGACCCGATCAAATATAAATTTGATAAGTATTTTAAATATGCCAAGTACCATTTGTGTTGGGTAAACATATTCATTTGTGGTAAACATATTCATTTGTGGGATAAGTCACGTGACTTACCGAATGATTTTATATAAACCAATGTTCACTGTTTTGATGTGGGGTAAGTCACGTGACTTTGGTCACGTGACTTGCGCCATCTATATATTCCAAGAGCTCTGGTGTGATTCTCCAATCGCGAATAAGCTTACGTATCTTCTATTAAGAAAGGATCGCTTATCGCTTATTCGGTAAATGAACATTGTTTGGTTCTAAAGTATATTTGTATTTGATGCCTGTTCTAAGTATATGTGTCAACCGTCTTTGTTCATGTGTTTACGTGGACTTAAATATGTGACATTTTATACCAAACACTTAATAACATAAACCGCATATACAAGTGCACTTACCGCATATATAGGTACATAAATCAAATATAAATGTGTAAAAACAAACAAATTTATTACGTGTTTCGAATTTTTTTAATAGAGTAGAATATCGAATGGTTGTAATCAAATACAAAAGTGTGAAAATCGAATAAAGATGCAGAAAAAATTCCATAAGGGGGAAGAGGTAATCATCCTTTTGTGTTAGATTTCAGACATTGTTTCCAGAGATTTACAACCTTTTCCAACTGTATGAATTTCCAAAACTAGCTAGAGGGGTGTTAGGATACCCACACAGATTGCAAAATAATCCAAGGCATATCATTGAGAAGGAGGGTATGTGTATAGTGAGATTTCTAATGGAAATGGTTATTCATTAAAGGAACATTCCTTGCCAGACTATTTCTCTCCTGATATGGTAGCTACTATCATATATATACTTTACATATTTAGCAAAACACGGGAATTTTTTTTCATATGGTTAGTATTGATCATTTAAAAATGTAGTACTCATTCCCAGTAAGCTGCCATCTTTTCAGATTTCTTTCAGGAAGTGATGTCATCGACTCTCACCTGTTATAACCTTGTCTATTACAGTATAGGAAAGAAGTACAAAATCACTTCTAAACAAGAAGCCCTTATCTTCTGTGTAAAAATATTTTCAGGAGTTGTCAACTTAGAACTAAAGAAGAGATCATCAAAAGGATTTTAATCATAGACCAAATCGAAAAAAATATTCAACTAGTTTAGTAATTCTAATAGCTCCTTACCTAATGTTATATGTAAAGTTGAGAGTCGATGACATCACTTCCTGAGTGAAATTTTAAAAGATGGCAGCCTACTGGAATTGAGCACTACATTTTTAAGTGATCAATATTGACCATTTCAAAACATTTTTCTGTTTTTTGATAAACTTGCAAAGTATGTATATGGTTATAGCTACCATATTAGGAGAGAGATGGTCTGGCAAGGAATACCCCTTTTTTCTACTTATTTTCAGGATAACCATTCGATGGGATCACCCATTGGCGGGGACATTTTGTACACATTTGTGTTCTTGTTTGATTATATAGCTTACCAGGCTTTGTTTTAGTCATAGGATTTCATAAAAGAATCCTACACAAAAGAATGACAATTGATAATGTGAAGAAACTCTTTACCCATCAACTTCAAAAATTTAATTAACATTAAAACACTCCATATTCTCAAAGTGACACCTCTTGTGAGCTAATATGAACCTTAGTATGTGATCATATGAGGGACCATTTCAAAAGATTTATGGTGCAATATTAACTTATTTTGTGAGTTAAGGGAGGAGGTCCTGGTCCCTGAGAGTTAGATTTCAGACATTGTTCCCAGAGATTTTCATTAATGCACCTTTCATCGAGTATATGAACTTTCAAAATAAGATGGGTGTTAGGATACCATATACAGATTGCAAGTTAATCCAAGGCATGTTCTTGCAGAGAAGGGGATATGTTTATATACAGGGAAATCAATTAAAAAATGATTTTCCCAACATCTAATAGAGAAATGCTTTGTAATTAACCAACATTGAAATATATTCAATCTTAATGACATTATACACAAAAAAACATGGTTTCAATGCAGAATCATTTATTGCAGAGAATTTTAGTTTTTCCATTGAAAATTCAAATGCATCATTTCCTTCGCATATTATATCCCTCCGTCATTACCAGGGGCTGGTGTAGTACTGTCGCTATCATTGCTCTCATCTTCACTACTCTCGCTACTATCGCCTAAATCGCCGACATCAGGGGCTGCTGTAGCACTGAAGCTACCATTGCTCTCATTTTCACTACTATCGCTACTTTCTGATCTTCTGTCTCTCCTTAGTACATCCACTGCAAAGGTTATTTACCTCATAAAACCACAAATATAACAAACACACTTATGTTTTTTCTCCCAGGGACTTTTGATGTTTTGGGGAAATATTGGTCCTTTATATTCTGCAACCATATGTCACCAGTATGCTCTGACACTGGCACCTTTGATGATATACTTGGCATATTCAATTCATTATTGACCACAAGACACAATTTTTAAAAACATATTTACAGTCACTTCCCAGTCTCACATGAAATAAAATAACATGTTTTCATTTGTTAAATGCACAAACTGTAAAATGTACTTTAAAATCTTCTTTAAGATGTACTTTGAAATATAGTTCATTTTGCTAGCATTCTCAATTGGGAGATGGTCATTTGTTGAATATTTTTATTCTGGTTATTCTAATACTGGACTCCAACTAATATTTGATGCTATTATATTTTGCAATTTTGAATTTTTGCGGCTATTAATTGTTGTTAATTTTCAGCTTTTGAAGTTTTGTGGCTATTAATTTTTGCGAGCTTGTGAACTTTTTCAAGCTTCTTTTTCTAATTTCTTTGATTTAAATCTTTTAAAACCCAAAATAACTTTGAAAACAGTACCTTCCTACCTTTTATCACCCAGTACTGGACGACGATATTGTCAACATTGAGTTGAATCAATTCCTGTGAATTTCATGGCTATTATTATATATATTATATTTTAGGAGTTAGAACTATTGGATTTTTGCGGCCATTATATTTTGCGAATTTTCAAAAACCCTTGAAAATGTGAAATATAGTAGCATGCGAAAATTACCAAGAGTACAGTAATTGAAAACATGATTTTGTAAACTCTGCATAACCAAATGGTTAATATGTGTTATCAGCAATGGATGAATCAAAAAATAAATTCAACGGAAAGTAGTCATATTCACCTTTTTTCTCATTTGCCTTAACAGGTAGAGGATCTGCCAGTGCTACTCCTAGGAGTGCAAGGAGGCTTATTGTGATAATCATGTTCATTTTGGTTTTGGTAATTGCCTAAAAATAAAAAGCAAATCTTTAAAATCCTATATCTTATTTGGAAACGCATGAAGCATTCTATGAGGATTAGCAGAATTTGGTTTGTAATGTTAATAATCTTGATAATGCCTGGGTCACATTTGCTTTGATTCATCGGTCGGTGCCCGGCCGATTGAGTAATTTGTTCAAAACTGAATACAATTTGAACAAAATACTCAATCCGCCGAGTGCCGGCCTATAAATTGGAGCAAATGTGACCCAGGCATTAGTGAAAGAGGTATATTCAAAGTATACCTCATCTAATTAAAAAATATGAGTTGAGAAATATTTATTTATTAAATGCTGCTTACCTTTTAGTCTTGCTGAGATGTATCTGATTTTGCTGTTTCTCGACTGCTTGTAGGTAGGTAGAATGAAATCTTTCACATCTGAGTTGGGATTATATGAGCAGCACTCCATTAACATCGATCTTGTCTAAAAATAATTCGGATCTCTCATTCTGATTGGCTGTGTATTTCTTGTGAAAAACTATATGTCACTTGTGGACTGTTGAGTTATGAAAAGATTAAGATTGAAATTAACAAATGTTATATTTTTTTTTATTATTTAGCCTACCAGGCTTTGTTTTATTCATAAGATTTCATAGTAGAATCCAACACAAAAGAAAGACAATTGATAATGTGAAAAAACTCTTCAACTTCAAAAATTGACACTAAAACACTTTATATTCTCCAAATGACCCCTCCTGTGTGGTACAATGAACCTTAGTACATGTGTGTGATCATCTGAGTTTTATGTTGCAATTTTAACTGTATTTTATGAGTTAGGAAGAGGTAATAATGTCACTTGTGCGATTTTCATTAATGCACCTTTCGTCGAGTATATGAACTCTCAAAATAAGATGGGTGTTAGGATACCATATACAGATTGCAAGTTAATCCAAGGCATATTCTTGCAGAGAAGGGGATATGTTTATAAACAGCAACATCTTATGGAGAAATCCTTCATAATTAACCAACATTGAAATATATTCAACTTTAGTGACATTATTCACAAAAAACATGATTTCAATGCAGAATCATTTATTGCAGAGAATTTTAGTCTTTCCATTGAAAATTCGCTGAAAATTCAAATGCGTCATTTCCTTCTCATATTATTTCTTTCTGTTACTCTCATCACTATCTTCACTTTCTTCACTTTCAGCACTCTCGCTACTCTCTGATCTCCTCTTTCTTGCATTGTCACTTCCATCACTGTCATCACTTTCGTCACTTTCATCACTCTCGCTGTCGTCACTTTCATCACTCTCGCTACTCTCTGATCTCCTCTTTCTTGCATTGTCACTACCATCACTTTCGTCACTTTCATCACTCTCACTGTCGTCACTTTCATCACTCTCGCTACCTTCTGATCTCTTCTTTCTTATAGGAGCACTGTCATCACTATCATCAATTTCATCACTCTCGCTACCTTCTGATTTCCTGTTTCTTGTTAGCACATCCACTACAAATATTATTTAATTCATACAAACATAAAGACATCACTTATCCTCAACTATTGTTTTATTATATTTTTCCTGAGGAACATCTGATGTGTTGGGGAAATATTGGTTCTTAATATTCTGCTACCAGATGTCACCAATATATCTTAAATGAGATTTTGAAGATAATTATTAAAAATGTATTTCATTTCGCTGACATACTCAATTGGGAGTCGTGGTCATTTGTTGAATATTTTTATTCTGGTTATTCTGATAATAAATTTGAGTTGATTTTGTAAGCTCTACATACTTAAAGGGACATTCCTGGCCAGACCATTTCTATCCTGATATGATAGCTATTATCATGTATATACTTTCCATATTTAGCAAAACATGGGAAAATGTTTTAATATAGTCAATATTTATTATATAAAAATGTAGTGCTCATTTTCTGTAAGCTGCCATCTTTTCAAATTTCACTCAGGAAGTGATGTCATCAACTCTCAACTTTCATAACCTTGCCTATAACAGTATAGGAAAGTAGCACAACATCACTGCTAGACAAGTGGTCCTTACCTTATGTGCAAAAATATTTTCAGAGCTTGTCAACTTAGAAGGATAAATCATAGACAAAATTGAAAAAGAATATTCAACTGGTTTTGTAATTCTTATAGCTCCATACCTAATGCTAAATGCAAAGTTGAGAGTCGATGACATCACTTCCTTGGTGAAATATTAAAAGATGGCAGCCTACCGTACTTGAATTGAGCACTACATTTTTATGTGATCAATATTGACCATATCAAAACATTTTATGGTATTTTGCTAAACATCTAAAGTACAGGGTGGGGCAAAAATGCCACTTTTTTAAAAGCTTTTTAATTTTGATCCTAATCATAATTTGCATACCAAAAGAAACTTGAAGATGTCATGAGAAATGAACAGAATATGCATAATGTACAAACTCAACTGATAAAGCCTGATGACCACCGAGCTAATAGTCCTGATGTAAACCCCAGTGAGTATAGGGTATGGGAAGGTCTCCAGGAGATGGTATAGAGGTACCCTCAAAATAGGTATCTCAAAATTTGCTCAACTAAAGCTGGCAATTATGACAGGTTGAAGGAAACTTAGTCAACATTTCATTGATACTGCTATATCAGCATGGGGACAAAGACTTAAGCCTCAAAGAGGGTGGCGGACCAAGTGAACTCCTCTTTTAAATCAAATACAATCCAAGTTGAAGGACTTGTTACTTTACTTGTTATTTTATTACTTAGAACCCCTTGCACTATATAACTGCAACTTGGTAAATATATAACAGATACAGCGTGAAAAAGAATTTGATATGTGTTGTGTATAGCAGTAGCAGATATTGTATGCTGGGGTTTTACTTTTACACTGCGTACAAATCTACATTTTGACTCGTTTACACTGCATACGATTTTTTTTTTAAATAAAAAAGAATTTCCCATTGAGAGCAATGTTAAATTAAAACAATTTCACATATTTTGTAATACATCAGTATATCTTTTACCAAGATTTTTTTTCAGGAAAATCTGAATTGTAGAAAAAAAGCTGATACACTGTGAAGTAATACCTTAAAACATGTCTCTTGAGGGTTGTTTACAGGTTTCATGGATTCATCCTAAAATTTTAGAGATGTTTCTACGGAAAGTTTAGAACTGATTAGTTTTTAGGCAGTCTGGGTAAATGTTAAGGTGGCCATTTTGAATTTTCCACCCTGAAAAGTGTATTCTGTTCAAGGGTGCGATTCTGTTCACCGTATGGCTTATTAATTATTGAAAAAGGTATTCCAAAATTAATGGGTGGCATTCCTTTTGTGTTACCCTGTATTATGAGAAATGAATAAATCAAAACATAATTTCAGTGAAATTAATCGTACTCACCCTTTTCCTCATTTGCCTGAACAGGGAGAGGATCTGCTAGTGCTACTCCTAGGAGTGCAAAAAGGCTTATCATGATAATCATGTTCATTTTGATAATTGCCTAAAAATAAAAAGCAAATCTTTAAAATCCTAATATGAATTTACATCTTTGTTGGTATTCATATGAGGAAAATGCATTTAGCATTCCATGTGGATGCACAGAATCTTGTTTGAACTCGAATCTTGGGCAAAATAAATGTTACCACTTATAAGAGAATTCATATAAACCTAAAGGCTTTGAATATGTCATTTTACCATTTGATTTCATGTGATAAAAAAGTGTTCAAATTGTACATGGATTTTACCTGTTAGGTGTTGTTACGAGAAGTTTTGTGCTTCAACTGAATGAATTAATCAATTTTTGAATATAAAAAAAAGTTTTAGTTATCTTATTTAGCAACATGCAATTATATACAGGCTGAATTGTTTGAAATTTAAAAAAAAAATTTTTATAACTTTTTATTTATTTTTTATTTCTGAAACATAAACGCAAAAGAATTTACAAATGAATACATGTATGTTAACAATTGTAATGTTAAAGAGGTATTTGCAGAGTAGTATAATAGTAGTTTACCATTTATATTAGAATATATAAACTAAACCTCATCTGATAAAAAATATGAATTGAACCTTACCTTTGTCTTGTTGAGATGTGGCTGATTTTGCCGTTTGTCCACTGCTTGTAGCCAAGTAGAATGACATCTGTCGTATCTGAGATAGGATTATATGAGCAATGTTCAGTCAAGGTCAACATCAGTCCTGTCTTATATATAATTCAAATCTCTCATTCTGATTGGCTGTCCATTTAAATGTTATTTTAATGTTTTTTTACTGTGTTAGTTAAGTTTGTCTTTTGTACTCTTATATCCTATAAGGGATGAATTGAGAAATCAATGAATAAAAATATTCTATTGAAAATGACAACTTTTCAAGGATGCCAACATGGCAACTGAATTCCACTTGTGGACTTGAGAGTCATAAAATGATTTAGAATTATTATGATTGATAATTAGTCTACCAGGCTTCTTTTTATTCATCCTAGTTTTGTCACCCCATTTCAAATCACTGCTTTCCTCTCCAGTTCATATCCCCAGTGGACAAATATTGTTCTCCACATTATCGTTATCAAAGATGTAGGCTTGTCATTTCCAGATGCACTTGAAATCATATGGAAAGGAAGATTCTCAGAGTTACAACTCTTGTTCAAGAGACTTGCACAAATTCAGGTTCTTCCCCAGGGTCATGTGAGATCAGTTAGAACTGTGAATGACCTCATTTCTGAATGATTTCCTTTGAGAAAATCTGCGAAAATATTTACATCTGAGAAAGTTTTCTGTTTTATATTTTCATTTTTATGACACCACCAGAAGTGGTGACATTGTTATAGTCTCCAACTTTTTGTGGATGGTGTTCGGCAGTCAGTGTTTCGGGTTTAATATCCGTAAAAATTGTGTTCGGGGTTTGGAACAATTTGCAGTAACTTACAAGGTGGTGATATTTTGTCATGTTAATGCCTTGCTTGAGCATTGATATATGAGCATCAGGGTCTTCCATCAGTATCTTCTAGACGAATCCATAGGGTAGTAAGAACACTAGTAGGTGTGTGTGGATTGTATTTGGGGTTTGTCATTTGGTGTTTTTAGATTAGGGTTAAATTGGTTATATTATTTTGCTGTGGCTATTGTAATTAATATAATATTCTAATGTTCAAGATTCTTAAATCAAAAGATAATAGATTAGATTTTGTAACCATTTCTTATTTAAGAAATGGTAAAGTTTCAGTGGATATCAATGTCGTTGTCACAATGGTAGTTTAACAACGAGAGTCCTACAATGTGGGTGTGAGATATCAGTATGGAAATCCTGCCCTCCCCAATTTAGGTTGCTATATTTTTCATTCCAATAAATCCTAAGAGCATATGGAAATGTGTTCTGGCCATTTATGGGCGTTTCATGTTTGGTTCCAAGAATTTAGATTGTTTTTTACAATTTATAATCTCACTACTATGTTATTTTGTTATAGTTTGTTATAGTTAAGTTTGAGTGTTAGATCCAACTAGGATAAAATTTGTCTTTGATTTAACATTTTTGTCAGATCAACTATTAACATTATGTTTGCATTTGTTTTTGTCACATGTTCGCCCATGTGAGGCAAAAACACACTCATAATAAAGGATATGCTGTTCTTCTGTTTTTTTGTTTTATAATTATAATATGTAATCCATTTCATTTTGACACTAGTCTTATTTTATTTCAGATTTAAGTTTTAAAAATACACTTCATAATAACATATTGATTTTAAAAGATACACCAGTGCGTCATTGTGTATTTGTAAAAGAATTAAGCACTTTCATTTTGACACAAATCTAATTTTATTTAGATAAACGATACACAGTTGTGCGATTATGAATTGTTTAATTAAAAAAAAAACAGACAACTGTTGATAAGAATTCAATTAACAATTTGTTAATCAATTACTAATTCATTTTTAAAATAAATCACAAGTACCCCAAATCATTAACATGTCATCGCTGAATATTAAACCTTTTTAACCTTTAATTCTGACTGCATATTATGGGTACTGTACCTGTCTGGGTGACTTTTTACTTGAGGAAACAATGTAGTTTAAACTCTACATCTAGGATCACATCAAAGCCTCAGTTAACATACATCTGTAGCAAGGAGGATTGGCTCCCAGGATCGAAACTCTATAGAATGATTTTGTAATCATGACATGGCCATATATGGTAAAAATATTGATGTTGCTCTCTGGGAGCCAAACCTCCTTAGAACATAGCAAACATACAGAAATAAATATTTTCTTGAATAGATGGCAGTCTATGTGTTACTTAGAGATAAATGAAAGAATGTTTTCCAATGAATTCCAATTGCAATATTGAATAATAATTATACATATTTCAATTATATTTTAAGTCTCAGCAACCACTGAGCCCTAATATAAACCCATACTGTGGTTTTTCCCTTTGCTATTACATAACTTATTTCCAAACCTCTTTGTGATTCCAGGTCCAAATATCAGACTGAACAGCCAGTGTGATGTTGATGATGTATGTGAAGACGCTAATGCGCAGTGCAGTAACAATAAATGCCAGTGTAAGGCCAGCTATACTGAAGACAATGGCATATGTGGTAAGTTTGATTTGATTCATATGGATAGCTCTATCAGTACAAAAAACTGGTCTTCCTAGACATGCTACAGGCGCGGTGATATGTTACAAGTATTTACAATATTCACAATTAATATAAATGTTACCTATGAACAATTTTTGCATTCAGAATTCTAGAGTTTCAATGTTGAACATTGAAAGTTTTGAAAATATTTGATACAATTATGGATAGTTGTATTATTGTAGTACTAAAATAGAAAATAGATGTTTGGGAAAACACAGATGGACTTCTAAAAAACAATTAAAGTGTCTCACATATTCAATCAAAATTTGCCATGCAAACATGTTAGTCTACTTTACTGGCCCCCTTGCTGTAACAAGGAACACAAAACACATTAAAATGTAAACATAAACCAATTAGTCAGACGATCACTTCACTATGAAAGTTAGGGGTGTTCAAGGCAAATGTGTATTAGCAGAATACGCTGTGTGCATGGACTAACACAATGTCAGTGGTCATTTACTGTGTCAACTTAGTAACCCTTGCATATCGTGCTCACTCAAGTATTGAATAATCTTTTTTATGATCTAAATGTTTGTGGTTTATAAAAAAATGTGATATATTTTTTTTTAGTTGGAAATACATTAATAAATATATTCATCCAAACAGCACTAGAATGCGGGAAGAAAGAGCAATGGTGACAAAATGCAGACCGAATTTTCCGTAAGGGTTTCAAACATTTCTGGACACAATCATACATGTACTTCATGTGTACTGTTATTTTTAGTGCTGTATTTATAGATATAATTTCATGTATTAAAATCATATTTTCCAGCAATGACTTCAAATTCGGAACCACCCCCATATCACATTTTCTTCAATAACTCCAAACATGTGTAAACATTGACCATGTGCATATAAATTCAGATTTCACGAGCTCTTTCCTATTCGAGTACCTCATACACCCCTGCATGGATTTGAGTTGGATTCGCCTTTTATACGTGAGCCGGTACACATCGCAAACGCTGATTGGATAAAGATTGCGAGAATCTTTAAATATGCAGAACTGAATTATTGTCCGTTTGATAGTTGGCTATTGATACTGATAGACTCAACTCTGACTTGACCCCGATTACAGTGCTGTACCCCCCCCCCAAACCTGTACCCCAGACTATTTTACCTATAATGTATTGTATCAATGCTCCTATTGTCGACTTATCAAGATATATATTGCAGTGCTACATAATGTATCACTGGACTCCTAATAGTAATGAGGTTGTCGTGTAAAACATGCTCCAGTGAACATCTCTTTAAGGAATAGTTTTTCAAAAGGACCAATATTTTCAGAGGTGTTCTCTCATATAGGTTTTACAGTTCTGCCAGAAATTATTATCTTCCTGTCAGAAATCTGTATTTAGTTTTTTAATTGGCACACTCTGTAAGGAACACCAATCTAATTGTAATGAGCAACTGTGTTTTAAGGCAAATTCTGAAAATACATTGTCTACAAGGAACATGGACTTCACAACGGAAGATTTAATCTATCTAGCTATCTAGCTTATAGACTATGTTTTGAAAACTACTGAGTTACTCCCTGCTGAAGGACAGCGCCACATCCGCTGCTTCCACTCCATTGTGTGTCTAAGTGTTAAAGGCCAAGATGAATATAAAGAAATTAGGATAAGCCAGTTAACAGGATGAGACATTACACTTACATAATTTTCAAAATGTGTATTTCTATTGATTTATTATACATTTATATACATAAATATAAACATTTGATAAATAGTTTGAATATACAATACACATAATTCTTGGGCAGATGTAGGATGTATATGGTGATAAGGGTTTTTACATCAGACATCACTTGATTGACAAGTTGTTTGGTTTGTTTATTGATATGATGTTTGAATGTTTGTTATTTTATTTATTGGTTGCATTATATCTAGTATAGTTATAAGCATGATAGTACATTAATGAAACATTTAGTTATATACACAGGGTTCTCACCAGGAAATTTTTAGACCCTGGATTTTTTACAGTATCACGACAACTTCTCCCCCATGTGAGATCAGAGATAATCTATTAGTACACTTTCAAAATACTACTTAAGATTTTCTTCCTATTTTGATCACAATATACATGTCTAAAAGGTTTTATGTATCTTCTCAAGAGTTTCACCACAAAAAATGTGACATAAATGTAAAATTAGACTCCGGAAAAAACACTTTAGACTCCAGAAAAGCTATTAGACTCTGGAGCAAGAGGGTCTAAAAGCCTAGTGAGAGAGCCCTGATACATGATAGTACATTGTATACACTGTACTATATACTTTTATTGAAACACTGTTATCTTGCCCTACAACGTTCAGTCTAAACCATAATACCAGTAACCAAAGGCTGAACTTGTTCAGACTGTTGCAATTTGGCCAAAGAACAATATAATAAATGAATAATATGAATAATATTTTGGCACAATTAAGTCTTGCTTTACAGCTCTATAGGCTACCATTTTTAAGGCAACTGATATTTTTTTCTATAGTTAATATTATTCCTGTAGTTAATATTACACATATTGCTGATGTTGTGGCTGCAGTGAAGCAGTAATGTTGCAGTCTAACATACTTATAAGCCACTAGTTGTCCAGCTATATTACATCCAATAGACCTCTACTATAGTTTTTCATCCATTTCTTGTTCAGCTGTTGTATTAAAGTGACCTGGAAGTACAGAAAACATTTTTGTGGCTTAAGTTTTTGTCAACTGTTCTTACATATCACATATCATGAAAACAATGCATTAACATGACAAAATGACAATACGTTGTAAGTTATTGGAAGTTGTAAGAGTTTAAGAATTTATCATAGATGCAAAACAACAACTGCCATCCACAAGTCGGAGAGGCCCTAGAGGGGTTCAGGACCTTCAATGAGGTATTATAAATCTTGGCTCCAAAGCAGTCAGAGACAGAGTTGAATTAATTTGATCCTTACTTCTGTGAATTTGCGATGGATGTACCACTGATCATAAAACTGTTCATGATTTATCTAACAATATCAACCACTGGGACGACTGGGTCACCTTAGACTATATGTATTACATTCATTGCAGGAGAACAATATTAATTACTTGGCATCGATACAAACCTGCGAATATCATAAGTTACATGGGTCTCATCACAGTTAAATTATAAGTTGTAGCCTACAGTTATATTTTTGGGGTAAAGTTTGTCATTTCGATCATACTATTTGTAGGGTATATATGATTCCTAATATGTGTACCTTTCTAGGCTATACATATATTCCTTTATATACACCTTTGCCATATTGCATACATTTATAAAATAATCCATATTAATTCTATCTGATCCATATTAATTCTATCTGACAGCTGATAGTGCTACATTAGTATATTCATCTTTTGCTGTTAACGGTTTATTTTTGAAATTCATTCTTTTGCCATTTCTCAGTGTATATTTGATCTTGATACCTATGGCAAGGCATGACATTGGTGCTACCTAATCTGTATCCATGACGATGCACGATATTTGGTAGAGCATACTGAAGCAATATGACACCATTTCTTGGACATTTTTTCCTGCTGCATAGGTAGCATTTCACATTCACTGCCCCTCCATAAATTGCCTCTTCCTTTGGGGATTTCTTGCTGCAGGAACTACATGTGACCTGAGGCATTTCACGGATTATGCTGTAAACAACTTCACTAGGCCCTATGATTCTAAGGTCCGCTCCACCGTAATATCCTTCATACTTTGCTGTGAGAACTATTACTCCATCTCCATAAAATGCCATCTTGCAAGTTAGATGGTATTAAGGCTTACTATTTAGATGAGATATAACTGTACTGTGGAAGCAATGTTTGCATTAATAAAACCAGGTCATGAACAGAAGTGCTATAGCTTTTTATTGTGTACACGTTATTCACATGAAAGGTTTATACAAAACTTTTCAGTTGAAATTTTAAAGATAATATAAAGAACAGGTCACACTCCCATTAATGTAGTAGCCACCTTGCAAGTTTTAAACTTTGGTACTAAGGTCATTATTTTTACTGAAATGATCAGTTATATTCCTGGTAATGTAAACAAAGCCAATGCCATCAGCTGTGATAATTAGATAGCTACATATCTAGGGGTGTATTGCTTTGCTACCTACCTGTTGGATAGTTCTAGGTCTATTTTTGGAATTCGTTCTTTTGCCATTTCTCAGTATATAGATTTCCGTACGGAACACAAGGCAAGATGTTAGTACTTCCTAATCGGTAACCAAGGTGATGTAGGATGCTTGGTAGTCCATATTGAAGTAAAACTACCCCATTTCTCGGACATTTTATACTTTTACATGTATAGCATTTTACATTCACTGCCCCTCCATAAACTGGCTCTTCTTTGGGGGATTTCTTGCTGCAGGAACTACATCTGACTTCAGGCATTTCATGGATTATTTTGTATACAACTTCACTGGACCCCATGATTCTGAATTCATCTCCCCTATATATTCCCGCTTCCCATTTTGCTGAGAGAACTATTATTCCATCGCCATAGAATGCCATCTTATGTATAAATGTGATGTCAAGCTGAATACTAAATTTTAGCCAAATGTACTGCTGTTATATTGATTTTGAATACAATCTGTACAGGTCATACATAAGGCCACGGTGATCTACCCTAGCAAAATAAGTCAAATGGCTACATGTCTCATGTTTTAATGCACCATTCAATGATTAACATGAGATCCCCAGTCCCCCACTCAATGTGGGGAGGTAATATGATACATTGTTTATAGTATTGTCTTGGGGTAGGATTTTGACAGAGAAATTTTCCAGGGAGTGGTGATTTTGAAAAGCATACAGTAAAACATTTAAAGGACGGGTTCCAATATTGAATTTTTTTATGTGTACAATGCTTATAAATAATACTTTGAAAAATATTTATCAGTGTTTGGACCAACATAGATATAAAAGGCTGAAGGAATGGAAGTTATCAAGTTACCATTATGGACACTTGAGTCTACAGGATTATACGACTATTTGATCTGCACCACTCCTATAGATTAGATACATACCTGGTGCTGGTGAAATATTTCAAGGTCTATTGTTGGAACTCATTCTTTTGCCATTTCTCAGTGTATAGATTTCCATGATGAAGGCTAGGCAGGGTGTTTGTACTTCCTAATCGGTAACCAAGGCGATGTAAGATGCTTGGTAGCCCATATTGAAGTAAAACTACCCCATTTCTTTGGCACTTTTTATTTTCACACATATAGCATTTAACATTCACTGTCCCTTCATAAACTGGTTCTTCCTTGGGGGATTTATTGCTGCAGGAACTACATCCGACTACAGGCATTTCATGGATTATTCTATATACAACTTCACTGGACCCCATGATTCTGAATTCATCTCCCCTACAGCGTCCTCCTTCCAATTTAGCTGTGAGAACTATTATTCCATCGCCATATAATGCCATCTTAGGTATTTTGTGTTGCAATGCTAAGCTGGATTGACCGAATGTTCAATACCATACCTGCCAACCTAAGACCAAAATTTTGCGGTAGATTTTTTTTAAATTGCTGTATTTTTGCGGTAGATTTTTTCAAAATACGGTAGTTTTTGCGGTATTTTTCAACAAAATTGCAGTAGTTTTTGCAGTAGATTTTAGAAAAAACGGTAGTTTTTGCGGTAGATTTTAAAAAAAACGGTAGTTTTTGCGGTAGATTAAAAAAAATACGGTAGTTTTTGCCGTAGAGTTTAAAAAAATACTGTAGTTTCAGAGGTTTGGGGTAGATTTTTGAAAAAAGTGTAATTTTGCGGTAAAATTTGAAAAAAGCGGTAGTTTTGCGGAAGATTTAGAAAAAATGCGGTAGTTTTACAATAGATTTTTAAAAATGCGGTAGTTTTTACGGTAGTTTTTTAAAAAACCAGTAGTTTTGCGAAAGATTCTGAAAAAATGCGGTAGTTTTACGGTAGATTTTGAAAAAATGCGGTAGTTTTTACGGTAGTTTTTTGAAAAACCGGTAGTTTTGCGGAAAATTTTGAAAAAATGCGGCAGTTTTATGGTAGATTTTGAAAATTGCGGTAGTTTTTACGGTAATTTTTTGAAAAAACGGTACTTTTACGGAAGATTTTGAAAAAATGCTGTAGTTTTACGGTAGATTTTGAAAATTGCAGTAGTTTTTACGGTAATCATTTGAAAAACTGGTACTTTTGCGGAAGATTTGCCAAAATGCGGTATTTTTCGGTAGATTTTGAAAATGCGGTAGTTAAACCTTTATACAGTGCGGTTTTCTATATTAATACAATGTTTACGTCACTCATATTGTTGTTAAATCAGAACTACTACCTGAGAATTATACGAAACTATTATTTTCAAGAAAAAATAGATATACTATTTTCAAAAATTAATAGACACTAAACACGTTTTATTTTTCATTTACCATGCCTACAATGGACTGACAGCAACTTTGGATTTTAATGTTTCAGCAAAATGTACATATCCCGGGGGGTTCACTATATATAAACCTTGACGGGGATCCTCGGCGCATGTGGGGTACCTTTTTCAACGTTTGGTATGGCAATGGACCCATATTTTAGGATTTGGTATGGGAATGCCCGGAAATTCCTGACTTCTGAGGTATGGCAATAGACGGACTTTTGCTCTTCTGGTATGAGAATGGTCGTTGTAGATACATTACCTAACATTCGTGGTATGGCATTGGTCCAGTAGTTGCAAATTTGTATGACATTGATCCTATATTTCATTTACTTTGAATTAAGGTATGGCATTGGTCCCATATTTAGACATTTGGTATGGCATTGGTCCTACATTTTGACATTTTGTATGGCATTGGTCCCATAATTGGGCATTTGGTATGGTATTGGTCCTATATTTGGACATTTGGTATGGCATTAGTCCTATATTTGGACATTTGGTATGGTCTTTGGGCATTATTTTGGTTGGTATGGGAACATATTGAAATTTGACAGATTGGTATGGGAACATATTGATATTTGAGGCTTCAGCCTAGGACCCCCGTCGAGTTTTATATACAGTGAACCCCCCGGGGTACATATACAACTCTTTTACAATAAATCTAGATTGATTCAGAATACGAACACAATATTCATATCTCCACTTTTATTCACCTTCTAACCAGTTTTTTTAGATATCAGGATGTTTGGAAATACCAATGAAACATTTACTGAAATACAAAATATGGATTTTACACGTTTTTACTCACCATCTTAGATGATCTATCACTTTAACGAATTGAAATGACAGACATAATGTTCATATAACATTGGAATCATATGAATACGACGTCAGATACTGTACATCACGGCGTAACAGTGTAATTGTTCATTTTACCGACAAAATGCAAAGATTTACGCGATAAATATGCGCAATGCTCCTCCAAGTAATTGCAAACGTTTTAATATTCGTGGAATCTTCTTAAAAACTTCAAGTTTTGTTCAGATTAGTGTGCGCTTCAATACAATTCTATATTCAAAAAGGTTGTGTCACGATATACAGAATTAGAATCACCAGAAAGTAGACATTTCAAACCCTACCCGTTTTCTTCTTTGTCGCGCTTTTCGGTCCTGCGCTTTCGTTGTCGCACCGTCTTTCTAGACTCTTTCACAATGCCCCTTGTCATATTCAACTGATAAACACAGACGGGAAGATATTAAGGATTGTTAAATGCATTATTTGTAATTTGGTATTAAATATTGCTTTGTTCACTCGCAAGTCTCTAATGATATCAACGTGTTTGTCTGGCACAAATAGAAAATAAGTACAGATCAATTGTCTTTCAAAAATAATCTGTTATAAGCATTTGCTGAAACCTTTCCACTGAGACATCGTTCAGATTCGGATATCACAATACTAAAAGTATAAACCAGAACTCAATGCTTTATTTTTTAATTATGTATTTGTTACTGATAAAATGTTCTGATGAAAAATACAACATTTTATCGTACTGTAAACAAATTGATTAAACTATGTATAATGTATATGTGGCGTTCATTACTGATCATAACAAATCAAACTACGCATATTTCATACGCTAAATATGCATACGCATTAATGATTTCCACTCATTTATTTAGATGAAGCGCAACTAAAATCATATTTTTGTTGCATTCGGAATAAAGATCTGTGTACAAAAGGGTTTGGTTAACTACAAAAATCATGGCAGAAAGAATTCTTTCTAGCTAGTGGTAGTTGGTGTTTGGACTGATTACACGCAAGCTTACTTATATAAATGCGCAATAAACTGATAACCACAGACCTGCCGATACCTATTTATATTCGGGTTGTTGAAGGAATATTACAGGGACAGTACAGGGAGACTTCAATTTTTCAACATTTCCCAACGAATAACGGGAAATTTTACGGTAGTTTGAACAAAAATACTGTTGATTTGAGCAGAAATATGGTAGATTTTCGAAAATTTACGGTAGATTTTACGGCCGTTCTCATGGAATAAACGAGTTTTTTAAAAATAAAATTTACGGTAGATTACGAAAAAAATACGATAGATTTTTTTACGGGCGTTTTTACGGGAAAAAATGGTATTTTTTTACGGTAGTTTGTCATTTTTTTACGGAAAAACGAAAAATTTACGGTAGATTCCCGTAAAAATACGGTAGGTTGGCAGGTATGAATACTGTGATAGTACACAAATTCTATCTTTGGATGAAGCAGTTTTGATCATGGACTTAATTATGCTGTACATATTGATCATGGTTATACAAATGTGATTTACCCTTGCAAAATATGGCACAGGGCCACATGTTCAAACATAACAGCTATTTGGAGATTTATATCCAATTTTGGGTGCAGGATATAAGAATTATACTGAGGCCAATGTAATGTATCTACTCTTCAGTTATGTCATAGATTGATAATAATACATAATAGCTTCAGTTTTATTGATTATGACGATTGATGGCTTTGCGAATGGATGTTGGCCATTTGAATTGCCTATGGACAAGGCTGGATTTCTTCTATCCCACATCATTTGTTTGAGACTGAATGTCCCTATCTTTGATGAGTGCTAGTATCTACAACTAATTTTGATGTAATGAGTATTGGCTTTCAATTTTTCAACTTTTTTTCTTCAACATGTATTGTAATGACTTCGGTATGAATGAAATGTCCCTCGGTGTTCTGATCCTGGATTGTGATACTGACTCATTTGGAGGTGGGAAGGGGGTGTTAGACATTATTTCTTTTCACGTTAAATCATGGTTTTGGAATATACAATATATAGGATCTATTTTTATGACAGGTTTACACTAGGAGTTTACTTTTCTTACTAGGTTTACTGCAGTTTTTGGTTCTTTCCCTTTGGCATCTGTGCTTAGTTATTAATAGAGATTATCCTATATGAGGTTCAGGATATGGAAATTATAACACTTCCAAAATAATGTATTTACTCTCTTTCTGTTATGTTATAGATTTGATAGTCATCAACAATATCAAAATAATATACTTTTAAATGATGTGGAGGTGTATATATTTCTGAGGGTGTATTCAACGATGCCTGTAGGATGAGTTGAATACATCCGCATTTAGTTTCAACTAAGATATCAATCAAGTTTGTTGTTATGCTGTTAAAATTCACGATTTACGTCAGAGCCACTGGATAAAAAAATGGATTAGATAGATAAATTAATTTTGAGTATTTATATGATTCTGTAAACGTTTTCATGTTTGGAATTGACTTCTTAATGTTTGTGTAAACAAACAAAGATCATAACAGTCATTTTTAACCTTCCATAATTTAAAATCATCACTTTTCTGGCAATCCTATTACTGGTCTGGTCTGATGTAAAGTCCAAGAAACGAATATGTATAGTACATGAAGCTTCTAGCTCAATTTTGAAGGAAGTAACATCAATTTTTGTAAAATTCAAGATAAATCTTATGCCACAACCTGACTGAAAACTGAAATTTTTTCTCATTTTCCTCATGAAATCAGATTCATTGAAAAATAGTTTTCTCCAAAAGCTGTGTTTTTCATGGTATCCTGGATAGTACTGACAAGCTTTGGACGAAGTAAATGTAAATTATATGCCGTTAAATATACAGTCCTACTTCAGGAAAGCCCATTGTTAGCTGGAAACCAATGAGGAAAACAGTTATTGCATAATTATATTGAATCTGTTGTTTAGTTTATAACAAATACAACAAAGTGCCTGTATTTTTCTGACTTTTATTGATCCATATACTTAGAAATGGCTGTTGTATCTAAAACATATTATGTAGGTTCAGAGCATTATTTAGGGGGGAGGGGTAATGGTTAGAGCATGAAGTCTCTGTACCTTGTGTTTTTAAAGTAATGAAATAGTATATAGTATATAATAGTATATAAAATGAACTATAACATTATATATAACATATATATTTTCTAACACAAATATTGCTACTTTTGTTAAATATTTCAGTCACCTTTGGGTGGGCCCAGAAAAAAAAATTGGGCCCAAAAAAGTGGGCCTTTTTGTGATAAATGAGCCTTCTAAGGCCTTATTTTGTTTTAATTTTAGGCCTAATTTTGAAGAAAATGGGCCTCAAAATTTCAAAATTTTGGCCCACTTTTTGGTTTTAGGGGCCCAAAATTTTTTCTCAGACCAAAACTTTGGCCCCCCCTTGTTGGTTCCCAGATCCGCCCCTGCAATAATACTTATCTTCTGAAGAGCCACTATGATGATTGGTAAGCCCGATACTGTTATACATGTCACAATGGAAATGATGAAATAAATGGAATAATCTATTAAGAACATTTCTCTGTGTTTTCTAGCATCTGCAACTGGTCAGGGTTCAGCTGATGCCCAATGTTTACCTGGTCAGGTGTGTGTGGACAAGAATGCAATATGTGCCCAGGGGATCTGTAGATGTACTAATCTATTCTTTGCTAAAGAGGGACAGTGTGGTAAGACTCCATTTCATTGCATTTTAAGGTCAAATGCCAGTGTTTTATCCTCAAGAAATGAACTGCCTTGATTATCATTTTACATGTTTACTAGTATGTGATATAGTGAAGCTTCATTTTTATTATACTTTATTCAGTATTTTATCCCTGGCTGGCAGCCAGGATTTCTCAATTTGTGTTCTACTTTTTGCGAAATTTTTAACCAATGAAATAGCACTGCACATGATCGCTAAGTATATATACCTGGGGTATTTCTTCTCTCATTAATATGTGTATATATTTATATTTAGTGCCAAAGCCAACTCTTGGTTCTGTGTGTCCTGATGGTATATGTGAAGACAACAATGCTGTGTGTACAAGCAACAGATGTGAATGCAGTGAGACATTCTTTGAGAGGAACTCTGTGTGTGGTAAGTGCAATGTTTCTAGTACAAGCAACAGATGTGAATGCAGTGAGACATTCTTTGAGAGGAACTCTGTGCGTGGTAAGTGCAATGTTTCTAGTACAAGCAACAGATGTAAATGCAGTGAGACATTCTTTGAGAGGAACTCTGTGTGTGGTAAGTGCAATGTTTCTAGTACAAGCAACAGATGTGAATGCAGTGAGACATTCTTTGAGAGGAACTCTGTGTGTGGTAAGTGCAATGTTTCTAGTACAAGCAACAGATGTGAATGCAGTGAGACATTCTTTGAGAGGAACTCTGTGTGTGGTAAGTGCAATGTTTCTAGTACAAGCAACAGATGTGAATGCAGTGAGACATTTTTTGAGTGGAACTCTATGTGTGGTAAGTGCAATGTTTCTAGTACAAGCAACAGATGTGAATGCAGTGAGACATTCTTTGAGAGGAACTCTATGTGTGGTAAGTGCAATGTTTCTAGTACAAGCAACAGATGTAAATGCAGTGAGACATTCTTTGAGAGGAACTCTGTGTGTGGTAAGTGCAATGTTTCTAGTACAAGCAACAGATGTGAATGCAGTGAGACATTCTTTGAGAGGAACTCTGTGCGTGGTAAGTGCAATGTTTCTAGTACAAGCAACAGATGTGAATGCAGTGAGACATTCTTTGAGAGGAACTCTATGTGTGGTAAGTGCAATGTTTCTAGTACAAGCAACAGATGTGAATGCAGTGAAACATTCTTTGAGAGGAACTCTATGTGTGGTAAGTGCAATGTTTCTAGTACAAGCAACAGATGTGAATGCAGTGAGACATTCTTTGAGAGGAACTCTATGTGTGGTAAGTGCAATGTTTCTAGTACAAGCAACAGATGTGAATGCAGTGAGACATTCTTTGAGAGGAACTCTATGTGTGGTAAGTGCAATGTTTCTAGTACAAGCAACATATGTGAATGCAGTGAGACATTCTTTTAGAGGAATTAAATATAAATGCAATATCATGTCTATTTATCTGTATTTTCTTATGATTTTATAGTACTTTATGAAATTCATCTTCAGATTCAAATCAATATAATAATTGAAAATCAACAGAGAATATTCACTTGACCAATGAGCTGTATATTAACTGTATTAGATATTATGTTTTGCCCATTTAGTATATAATGAACCATTAATGACGCTTCATTACTTCAGAGCGCAAAGGTCGTATCAGTACGCCTTGTATAGAGCCTGATATCTGCACTGATACTAATACAGTATGTACTGGAGGACTGTGCCTATGCAGACCTGGACATTTTATCAAAGAAGGCTTGTGTCGTAAGTGCATTGTAATGTTTTTTGCAGGGGTGAGCCATTCATACCATTTTTTGCCCAAAGTGATCTTTTAAGGGAGGCAATTTTTTCTGAATCTCAGATATAATATTGTTGATTAAATCAATATCAGTAGCTTTTTTACTCTCAAAATCAATTTTTAATAACTCTGCCATAAATATTGATTTAGTCATAAAATCAAGAAATCAACACATGTAACATATGATTTGGAATCTGACTAAAAAATTCAAGGGGTACCTGCTTACTGGCAGTGTCTATTCATTTTTTAAATAAATGAAATTCAAATAATAAAACGGAATGAATTTAAATTTGTTATGTATTTGTAGGTCCCAAGTTGAATATAGGAGAACAGTGTATAACACAAGATGTATGTGCAGACTCCAATGCCCAGTGTATTAATGGCAAATGTAGCTGCCAGACAGGCACTGTCTTACAAGAAGGACAATGCAGTAAGGAAATATCTATAACATTATTTTCCTAATCTTGTATAATAGAGTCTCTGAAATCCCCCCTTCTATATATAGTCTTGAAGCGGGACAATCTGTGCTGTGATATTTATTCATTAGATTAATTATGTTTTATCGTGAAATGGTTGAAAAGATATTTGCTGAAAGTATTGAAATGGTAAAAAATATTATGAAATGTTAATGAGTACATCATTATTAGTATATTCTTGCAATTCAGGAGGCCGTTTCTCGAAACTAATTGTTGTTAACGAATCGTGGATTCGTTTCTATGGACACCGCATCGTTAATGGAATAATGAGACCCCATTTGTACTTGTAAAATCAATCATGGATAATGAATAAATCATTAAAAATCATGACATCATCGCAAATCGTTAACTTTCGAGAAATGGAAAATCGTTATTAACAATGGAATTAACGATTCATTAATAACGAAACTTTTGAGAAACTGCCTCCTTGTAAATTAACATGATAAAAATAAAAATTAATCTCTATTTTTTCTAGAATTTGGTCTGTCAACCCCTACACCCCCATGCAGTCCCACTGGTCAATGTTCTGACGCCAATGCACAGTGTGTGTCTGGCCTTTGTCTGTGTACATTGGGGTACTTCTATAAAGCAGCCATATGTGGTGAGACACGTTCATTTTTGTATTGTTACATACAATTGGTGATCAGTAAGTAATGTATGGTCACAAAACTATTTTTTTCTTCTTTTCACAACCTTTATTTTACTAAACAGGACGTTTCGAATCCTGTCTGGATCTTTTTTTCAACTGTATATTAACTCATGATCCAGACAGGATCTAAAACGTCCTGTTTGGTAAAATAAAGGTTGTGAAAAGAAGAAAAAAAAGTTTTGTGATTTAATAATCCAACCTGAAGAACATGTTTAGGAGTAATGTATGGTGTTTTAGACAGATGCTTCTTAGTCTATTACTGCCATTACATGAGGTAGTAAAGCCTTCACCTGGTTGTACACCTGATCAGTATGGTATTAACCCAGCTTTCATCTAAACAAAATATAGCTATTTGGATCATTGCTATTTGATACATCCTGTATCAGTCTGTATAAAGTAGTAGCTGTATATCTCTACATGTAATTTGAACACCTCAATGTGAACACTTTTTTCTGTCTCTAATGTATGACCTTCTTGTGTTGAATAACCTTTAAGTGTGAACACCTACCGACCTGAACACTTCTGGCTTGCCCCGGTGGTATTCATATTAACTGTTTTACTGTATGTTAATATTGTCATTTCAGTGCCAGTGATAAGCCTTAACTCGCAATGTGTAGAAGGAGACGTTTGTTCTGATGCCAACTCTGCCTGTAGGAATGGAGTCTGTCTATGTGCCAATGACTATTATGAGCATAGGGGGACATGTGGTATGTTATTATATATAATTAAGCATTCCCTATGACTGAAGTTATAATACACTAATACATGTACTTGATAATACCTGAAGGCAGTGGGTTGCAGCACCTACTTGAGATTTTAAGAATATACTTCAATTTTTTGAAGAATTTTGAAAATGAAAATTCTGTACACACACTACCTCGAGGAAAGGATCCTTGAAAAAATAAGACTGTTCTGATAATGAGTGAAAATATATATTTCAGAGGTGAGGGGTAAGCAAGGCAGACCATGTGACACATTAGGGAGATGTCTGGGAGTAAACACCATGTGTAACCTTGGCCTTTGTACTTGTGCTAGTGGAACCATTGAGATTGATGGATTATGTGGTATGATAACATATTATTTTCTATAGTCTTGCATCCAGACTCTGTGCATGCCCCCCCCTCCTTCACTTGGTCACAACCTGGTATAGGTAGAGGGGTTGGGTGCAAGATTATATTTTCTAAGGAATTTCGAATTTGAAATGTCCTTCTGAAGTTCTTGATTATTGGCGAGTTTTTAGCTTACATGGTGAGCTATTATTATCGCCAACTTGTTTGTACGTCCATCTGTCCGTCTGTATTTATATATTTCAAGATGTCCGTCTGTCTGTCTGTCAACACATTGGCAGCTTATTCAAAATCCTCCACAATAATTGGAAAGGTTTCACTTTTAAAATATGTCTATAAGGTCGGCAATTGTTCCATGAGTGGTGTCTCAAAAGCTTTTCTAAAATGTCGGCCAGGTTTTCAGCTTGTCTTTGGTCAAAACTCCATAAGTATTCCATTAATTTGCTTGAAATTATACAGGACTTATTTCTAGATTATCAACGAAGTTTACAAGTTTCGGCAAAATATGCCGCAAAGAAACCTTCCCATGTGAGCGCAGTACCCATGGTACTATTTTTTAATATTATCTACCTTATTTGAGATGATTGCCCTGACCTGAAATTGGATTATTGGCCTGTTTTGAGATTGTTGCATTTGAAAATGAAGCCCACAATGTAATATCAAAAGAGGCATTGTTTGCTTGTACTGTTTATTTCTAATTCATTCTGACATCTATTGAATTGAGTTGTGTTAGAATTACTGCATTTAGGAATGAGTACATCCATTTAAATTGCTTACAATTTCACTCAAACTTGATTTTACAGAGAAAATATGTCATCCATAACTGCAAACAAATAAGTCACTGATAAATTAGCCTTCTGTCTTCATTCATGTCTCTGGACACATGTGAGCTTAATGCATGACTAACAAACACTTTAATTGTATGTAGTTGGTACATGACTAATGAACACTTTAATTGTATTCATTTGATACATGACTAATGAACACTTTAATTGTATGTAATTGGTACATGACTAATGAACACTTTAATTGTATGAAGTTGGTACATGACTGATGAACACTTTAATTGTAGTCAGTTGATACATGATTTATAAACACTTTAATTGTATTCACTTGATACATGACTAATGAACACTTTAATTGTATGTAATTGGTACATGACTAATGAACACTTTAATTGTATGTAGTTGGTACATGACTAATGAACACTTTAATTGTATTCAGTTGATACATGACTAATGAACACTTTAATTGTATGTAATTGGTACATGACTAATGAACACTTTAATTGTATGAAGTTGGTACATGACTGATGAACACTTTAATTGTAGTCAGTTGATACATGACTAATGAACACTTTAATTGTATGTAATTGGTACATGACTAATGAACACTTTAATTGTATGTAGTTGGTACATGACTAATGAACACTTTAATTGTATTCATTTGATACATGACTAATGAACACTTTAATTGTATGTAATTGGTACATGACTAATGAACACTTTAATTGTATGAAGTTGGTACATGACTGATGAACACTTTAATTGTAGTCAGTTGATACATGATTTATAAACACTTTAATTGTATTCACTTGATACATGACTTATGAACACTTTAATTGTATGTAATTGGTACATGACTAATAAACACTTTAATTGTATGTAGTTGGTACATGACTAATGAACACTTTAATTGTATTCAGTTGATACATGACTAATGAACACTTTAATTGCATGTAATTGGTACATGGCTAATGAACACTTATTTGTAGTCAGTTGATACATGACTAATGAACACTTTAATTGTATGTTATTGGTACATGACTAATGAACACTTTAACTGTATTCAGTTGATACATGACTAATGAACACTTTAATTGTATGTAGTTGGTACATGACTAATGAACACTTTAATTGTATTCAGTTGATACATGACTAATGAACACTTTAATTGTATGTAGTTGGTACATGACTAATGAACACTTTAATTGTATTTACTTGATACATGACTAATGAACACTTTAATTGTATGTAGTTGGTAGTTGGTACATGACTAATGAACACTTTAATTGTATTCAGTTGATACATGACTAATGAACACTTTAATTGCATGTAATTGGTACATGACTAATGAACACTTTAATTGCATGTAATTGGTACATGACTAATGAACACTTTAATTGTATTCAGTTGGTCAGGTTGTCCTAGGAGAGCAGTGTAGATCAACAGCCCAGTGCAAGACAGACAGGTCAGCCTGTACATCAGGGCTATGTAGGTGTATTGATGGATATCAGAGAAATCAGCTGAACATTTGTGGTAAGATATCAGGGGGAGGGGGGTTTACCATGGTGACTGAACTTTTTATAAAGTTGTTCATAGTTGTTTTGTTTGAACTGTGAGCTTTGCAGATCCTATTTTTAAAGTCACACTAATAGGCTTACGTAAATCTGTATTTTTTCAACATTAAAACTACAAAGCATACAATTTTGGAAATACAATATAGATCTTTCTATTTTTTCTTATTTGAAAATTGGATTTATTGTTACAGTAAATTATATTTTTTCTAAATCATAGATATTGAGAACTATTCTTGAATGTCCACTTGACAAAGTACACGAAGTAAAATTGGCATATCAGTGCTCATATCATATATTGATAACCTGAGGCATGGTCATTTAAAGAACCATTTCCGAAGTCAAAATAATTCCTTTCCCAAGTCCATTGTTTTCTATGACATCATTTTATCCATCGTTGGAACAATTTTGGGAATTCTTAGCTTCATGTTTCTTGCAGTAACCCCAGAATAACCAGTTAAGATAATTATGAAATGTGAATTATGAAATTCAACTTTGAGGTCTTTGAACTTTACAATCATGGTGAAAATCTATTAAAGTATGATATAATTTCATAAGAGACAATCTGTTTACTATTGAAACAAACTGTTTTCATCACACAGATACTTTGTTGATGTTGTATTTTAGTCACAAATCCTCTTATTCACGCAGCTGCTGGTTGCAACTGTGACTCATGTGAACTAATGTTTCACTTTATTATACAAAGTTATAAAAAAGTTTAAAACTTTGTACGATTAAGTGTATTAAAACTTCAATTTAGTGGCAATATAAATTCAGTTTTTCATCTTTGTTACATCACCATTCATACATTGTTTGATTATTTATTTAGTATTCATTATCAATATTCAAAGTAAGTTTAAAAAAGATGGGGATATGCGTTGAAATATGTTTCATTCTGAGTATGTTCAAATATACACTGTGTTTGCCTCATATAAAGAAACATTGAAATTGTAAGATTTTCTTGTTCTTCAGTGTATGATGGTGAGGCAGGGTCTTTAGACGCTAAATGCCTACCAGGGAACATTTGCACAGAGGAGAATTCGTACTGCAACCAAGGGGTCTGTAAATGTGTGGATGGGTATTTTGAAAAGAGCAGGAAATGTGGTAGGTGTATACATAATGATGAACTGAAGGAATGGATAGAATTCTTTTTTATTTAATTCTTTGGCAATTTAGTTTAGTTTCAGTCCAATTGCTTCAAGTTCATGGCATAAAGGAACAGATCAATATTTCAATGTTAAATTGTAAAGAAGGAATGAGTATTGTAAATATGCATTCTTGCACATAGCTCATACATTTAGTGTTTTGAAAATACATGATTGTATAGTATTTGTAAAACCTGTCAGAAATACATGTACATGTTTCACTGTAACTGACTTTACGGACTTTGTTTCAGCTGCTAAGATTGACCTAGGTGGACCATGTTCCAGTGGAGAATTCTGCACAGATAGCAACGCTGGCTGCATTCAGGGAACATGCTCCTGTAAAACTGGATACTTCAACCAAAATAATCGCTGTGGTAAGCCAGAATAGTAAACCTAGAATAGTTACAGTTACAAAAAATAGAAATATTAAAATATTTGAATACCTATAATATAAATAGCTACTCATTTATTTATTTATGGGATCAAATCCATGTTAACAGTGATTACATGTACATCATGAAATATGGATATATCATACAGTATGTTCGTAATCTCTATGCTCTACACAGGGGTGTCCATAATGTCCCTTTACAATTACAAGACAAAGTCTTATGTAAAGCATAAAGAGACGTGCTGTATAACAAAGACAGAAATGAATTGTGGAACTTGATGACCCTAGCTTATGTCAGGCCCGTAGCCAGGATTTGCCAAGGGGGGGTTCAGTTTTCAAAAATTTCCAGGGGGGTTCACATTTGACTATTTTGTCCCAAATATGACTAAAATCACTTGAGAAGTGCTCAAAATGGTGAAAAACTGCATGATTTTGAAAGAATTTTTGGCCAAGGGGGGCGGGCCCAAACCCTGCGAACCCCCCCCCCCCCTGGCTACGGGCCTGTATGTTGTCATGGTATTGGTAATATTGTGTTTTCATGGTATTCCAGTTGGTAGAGGTGGACTGGGACGGCCTTGTCTCCCGGACAATGTGTGTGCAGACTACAATGCCGAATGCAGATTCTCTCTGTGCATATGTAGGACCAATTTCTTTGAGCAGAATTCAATATGTGGTAGGTTTTCTCTTCTTTTGAGAACTTAACATGTGAAAGCAGCTAACTCTGATTATTCCTCTTGTGTACTTTTGATGGGTCTTTCCATTCCGTTTCAAACCTTGGAAATATCTATGCTCTTGATAGGTACCACAGACAAACTGAGATTTAAATGTACACATGTAATATGTAACTTTTTGTAAGAATGTTTCAAAATTATGAGTTGCACAAGAAGTTTTACAAAAAGTTGAGCTGACTTGAAATTCCATTATATTTCAGAGGCACGTGGTGTTCTGAACTCCCCCTGTATAGATGGCACTAGGTGTATTGGGGCAAACACTGTGTGTAATGCGGGGATTTGTGGCTGTATCGGTGAAGCCCTCAGTAAAGATGGAACCTGTGGTAAGATTGAGGAATACTTTTGCCAATACAACTACAGTACTACTCACTTTCTCTTAAATCGCATTGTCTGTATATCTGCAATACACTGCAATTTGAAAATGTCTTCTATATTCCTTAAATAAAGTATTTCATTATTTGAGCAATTGCAATGCTCAGTTATCTTGTAGTCCAAAAATGACATTTGAAATACTCTTATTGCTTTGCTATGTTTTGAAGCTTTGAAATAGTACATATACCAGGTCGTTCAATAAGTTCCCGGAAAAACGCTCTCATTTTGTTAGTTTGTGGTATTTTTTATTGAAATTTTCACAGTATGTGTAAAATATATTTAGAATTTATGTATAGAAATATTAGTATACAATATTTCATATTTATTAACTTATCCTTGATAACGTGACGTCATAAATGGGTATGCGGGGCACTATTTTGACGTTAAAATTACACAATTTTCAATTTATTCATCATATGTTCACATTTTTTGTATTTGTTTTATTTCAACTGAATAAACAGTCCTATTGCCATGGTAACTATGTGACATCATATTACTGCTGTACAAGATGCAAAAATTCTTGGAATTGATGACATCCTACATATTTGCATGACATCACACAACTAATGCATGACATCAGTCATTAGTCAGACACCAAAATGGCTAATGCAGGAGGGGATGCAGATTTGCTCAGAAAAGAACTCATTATGCAGATAAGAAGCTCTATCCGTTTCTGTGTCATGGACAATCTATCAAAAGAAGAAACTTTATTCACCCTATTCACCTGATACGGCAGTATTAGATTTCGCTGTTTTCAACAGATTGAAGGAAGCTCTGAGGGGGATTCGCTTTGGCTCAGTTGATGATCTTAAAGCAGGTGTTCAGAATTCACTAAAGGAGAAGTTTCATGCTGGGTTCCATGACCAATACAAGCAATGGGTTCAGAGACAGAGGCTATGAATTCAACACGATGGTTCATATTTTGAGCATTTAATGTAGATGACAGTGGAGGACTATGTGAACATATAATCTAACAAGCATACAAAGACATCAAAGGCTGTTAAATATATCGTAAAATGTTACTAAAACGTTTAGATTTAATGATCCAAACCGTAATACTAAACAGTGCCCCGCATACCCTTTTGTGACGTCACATGATGTTGGATAACTTAAAAACTGGTTAGACATTTTCAAATTAATTTGATACAATGATTTGGAAATAAATTACACACATACTGTGAAAATTTCAATGAAAAATATTATAAACTAATAAAATGAGAGCGTTTTTCCGGGAACTTATTGAACGACCTAACTAATGTGCTTCATCCTTTAATCCTGTATCATGCATTATTCCAGTGAGAAAGGTCCCACTGAAAGGTGTTTGTAAGAATGACTATGATTGTCTGGATAGTGCTGCCATTTGTACCTCGGGGACTTGTTCATGCAGATCAGATTACACTCTGACTAACAATGTTTGTGGTAAGATTTGATATTCAGTGTAAAGTCTGTGACGATAGTGACAATACATGTATGAAAATGGATTTTTCTTATGTAATAGTAACTTAGATTAAATAAATGAATTTTCCTGGTACAGTCATAATTATTATGATTTTTTAAAGAATTGATTTTCCCTCAACAATAACATCAGACTATTTATAGTTTGTGGATAGGATCTGTTGCATTCTGTTAAAGGTTTTACTTGAGTAAACATATGGTACTGGTTGTATCAGATGTATATCTTTACCTATTGTGCAAAATGAACCCACAGCTTGTACATTTACCTCAAATGCTACTTCCCACAGTGTCAAGGCGTCAACCTGGTAGTATAGATGCCCCATGTACAGGACAAGGCTTCTGCTTATACGAGAACAGTCGCTGTGTAGATGGGATATGTAGGTGCCAAGAAGCCTTCTATGAAAGCAATGGAATATGTGGTAAGTTCTGACAAATTGGATGTAAGTTCAACAAAACCTGTCATCTGAACGGCACTGGGAGATTACAAAATTTGGAATGAAAGTGGTCACATAGAGAGGTGTGTTCAGATTACAGAGGTGCTGGTAATACAGGTTTTGATATACTGTACTGAAACCTCAGTATACAACCCTTCAATTGCAGCATACAGAAAATTATAGCTGAATTGAATAATATGCAAAATTTCCAAGACTTTTGGAAAAACCCTCGTATACATAAGATGTGTTATTTGATTTACTTTATTTTTGTTGATGAGGCAAGAAAAACTAATATGGTGCAAAAGTAACTGGCAGATGTTAGGGTCCACCTAGGGTTTAATGATTCAAAAATAGATATATGCGCAATCAAGATTATGTTTCTAGTCTATTTGTTTTGGTGACCAGTTGTCTTGGTGATGAGTTGTCTGGTTACCACTGAGATATAACTCCTCCCATCAGATGAGATTGAATAAGAAAGTGTCTTAAAAGCAGAACATGTGGGCAGTGAAACAGAACAGAAAGATGTGATGAGATACATGAGGTTTATTTACAGATCGATGAGCTTCGTTAAAGTTCGGATTAGTTAATGACTTTTTGTCCTAGCATACTCATTCTTCATAGCCTACTTTTAACTCAACACCTTTTGTTTGTGTTTAGAGAGGAGACTTCCCCTGAGTAGTAGATGTTCAGCAGAGGGTGTCTGTCTGGGTGAGAATACTAGATGTAGCGAAGGGAGGTGTAGCTGTCTTCAGGTGTTCTTCAACAGAAACGATCAATGCCGTGAGTGAAATCTATTATTATTATTATGTAATAGGTCAAGAGTTCAAATAGAAAAAAACATTTTCACTGCAAATTGAATAAAAATATTCATAACATTAAATTCTTGTTAAGTTGGTTTACAGTATGGGTATAAATTCATTTATGTGTATTAAATTGTGTTTTCCAGTTGCTAAGGGAGGATTGAATGCACCATGTTTCCCTGAAGGGGGTTGCCTTAGTAACCTAGCAACATGTAGCTCAGGCACCTGTCTATGCAGAAGTGGACTTGTGATCAGTAACGGACAATGTGGTATGGGTAGCTTCTTTCTTATCAATTTTTATGGCCATCTGTACAAGTCTTATCCGAGTGAGTAGTGTGTACATCTGTAGATATATTCTGTACTATTGATGATTATTGTAATGAATTATTGTAATAATTACGCAGGCCCGTAGCCAGGATTTGCCAAGGGGGGGTTCATTTTTCAAAAATTTCCAGGGGGGGTTCACATTTGACAATTTTGGCCCAAATATGGCTAAAATCACTTGAGAAGTGCTCAAAATGGTGAAAAACTGCATGATTTTGAAATAATTTTTGGTCAGGGGGGGTTCGCCCGAACCCTGCGAACCCCCCCCTGGCTACGGGCCTGTTACGAGTACGAGTATTACAATATGTAAAAATGGCACTTTATTTCAGACTATACTTTTGAAATGAAACTGCATTTTTATGTCACCCAACACCACAAGTGGTGACATATTGTTAATAGTTTCCAATTTTTTTGTGAATGGTGTTTGGCGGTTGATGTTTGGCCTTCAATGTATGTAACAATGACAGGTGATGGCATTTTGTATGTTAATGCTTCATATAATTTTGTTTTCTCCTTCAGTTCTGGGAAACAACCAGGTGGGTCAGCTAGGTGGGGCTTGTTTAACGGATGGCAACTGCTTTGTCACCAACTCCAGGTGTGGTCCACAGGCGATATGTATGTGTGCAATCAATTATATACAACAGGGAAATATATGTGGTAAGTAATACAAACATATGTATTTATAGCATGTGTACTGGGGCATTCCATTTATGCTGAAATAATTTTCAGAGCCCTAGAGTTGATTTTTCAACGTTGACATTTTTGGAATAATGCCCTCTACCCTGTCATTTTCCAAATCTCCCCTGCCACACAAGTGGTTTGGCACATGTGAATCCCGGATGTGAATTCATTATAAGTAGGAATAAATGATAAAAGGTACAGCAATTCCTTAAAGGATCATTCATGAAATAAATTGTGCACCCAACCATGTTTTTTCTTTATGAGCTTTTGTTACCATGTTCAAATCCTTTAGTCTAAATATAATATATTCATATAAATTAAAATTATAAATTAGCTCCCTCTGGTGGCCTGGGCCTACTAGGAGGTGCCTGTGGCGCAGGTGGGACATGCACAGATCTACAGGCTGTGTGTGATGTGAGCAATATATGTGGATGCAGATCTGGCTATGAGGCTATCAATAACATCTGTGGTAAGATTATCATTTACAACATCATGTATTAGTGGAAATGAATGATTCAAAACAATTGAGAAAATCAGATTTTTTGTAGGATTTACTGTCAGTACATACATATATAGATTTGACTTCATGACTTCATGACTTTAATCTAGAACTCAATGTGCATTACAAATATTCCATTTTAAAATATGTTTGTTCCTTGTATATATATTTTGTATATATCTTTAAATCAATATATATATTCAAGTACTGTCTGTTTCAGTTGTAAAGCCTGGAATATTAGGTGGCCCATGTGGAGTAGGTGGGAAATGTCCTATTAATGCCATCTGTGATAGCAGCAACATTTGTGTGTGTAATTCAGGATTCTCAGTCAGTGACAATGTGTGTGGTAAGTTGGTGTTTGAAGAAGTAAGGCCTATACAGTAAAAGCAGTATTAGTGGGACACCTTTAGCACCTCAAAACAGTGTTCCATTTGAGAGATGTTCTATCCAGAGGTTAATTTTGCAGTGACTTAATGGATAGTTGGACTTTGAAAAGTGTTCCACTTATGGAGGTGTTCTATTTACAGAGGTGTTCCACTTAATAGGTTTTACTGTAGTTTCTTTGATTTTTTTCTGAATTGCATACTTGAAGATATCTCTTGAATTCCCAAAATGTTTTGAAAGTTTACATAACAAGAAGAATAGTGCATCATAAGGTTGTCAGAACGACTCTCCAGAATTAGATTGTAATCCTATTTTCCTCAACATGCTAAAAATAATTTTTCGGAATCTCAAGAAAATAGTGATGACAAGAAATGGTATGCCCTAACAAGATCAATACATTGATACAAATTGTAAAAAATACAAAATATGTTTATTAAGTGCATTTAAACTGAAACTTTCCTTGTTCATTTCCATTCCAGTTGAGCTAGGAGGCACACTTGGAGCTGCTTGTGGCGTAGGTGGGATATGTCGCTCTAGTAACACAATATGCAACAGCAACAACATTTGTGTTTGTGATGATGGCTTTTACGTTAATAACCTTTCATGTGGTAGGTGAACATTTATTAGATCCTTAACAATAATGGATTGATATGAAATGTAGACATTTTGGCAAAATTTAATTTGAACATTTATCACAAATAATTTGTTCTTGTGTTAATAAGTGTTTCACCATTCTGACTATTTTTTGAGTGATTTTTGGCCAAATTTGCCAAAGCGAATCCCCCTAGAATTTTTTGGAAAAGTGAACCCCCCCTTGGAAAATTCTGGCTACGGGCCTGCATACATAGCATCTGTAATCCTTTAGATTTAAAGAAATTACATTTTCATCAAGGCAATGCTCTTGTCATTGTTCAGTCTATGAGCATAAATAAAGTCAACTTTGCTGGCTCTCCACTTTCCACCATCCTTTGTTTCAGTGCCTACATTAGTATATGGTGCAGCATGCTCCACTGGTGATACCTGCAGAGGGGAGTTCTCTATATGTAAAGGTGGGACCTGCCAGTGCCTCTATGATTATGATGTGGAGAACCAGATATGTTGTAAGTTGTAGTGTCATTCAATTTCTTCCAATGTTGTTGTCAGTTCTGAAGAACAAAGCTATATTGATATTAAAATCATATTTGTTCTTACATAGTGTCTTTCGATGTTTTGTTATATCTAGAGATCAAATAAGGTCGATGTCATCCATGTATATCATTATACATGTCTTCCAATATTGTCCTCAAGTCTAGTGATTTCATATCATGCCATATTGATATATATGTATTGTGATCCAATTGATGTCATGTCTGTTTATCTCATTTCTTCTCTATTGATGCCATGTCTTGCCATGACAAAGTAATATTTAGTCTAAATTTTCTGTGTTCCAGTGGCAGGGGGTGCAGCCCAGGCAGCAGGGATAGACTGGATATGTAAGTGCATGTTTACCTCTCACCTTAACATTAGTCTGAGAGAAAAATTTGAAAAATAGTGAAAAAACTGCAGAAAAAACCTTGAATGTCCATCTTCATGAAATTACTTAGGACCCTCTGTTATTATCTGATTTGGCCTACATATAATTATAAAATTATTGGAACAATGTAGAATATAATAAAAGATCTTTCCTATCATTTTTAATCATTTGAATCATTTCAGTTTCATCTATATACATATACATCTTGTTCATTTGCAGGGATTGTTATAATTGTTGCTGTGCTTGCCCTACTGTTGCTTCTGTGTCTACTGTTGTGCTGCTTGCTCTACTGGTGGAGAAGGTAAGACATCTCACGCATGTTTGACCAAATCACCATATAAAGGGAAACTGTATAATAGAAAATGTTGAGGATTTTAAAGTGAGAATTGCATGAACTGAAGCAAAAACAGTAAAAACTTTCTACCACTTGGACCAGCCAAAAGCGTTCAGGTTGGCTGGGGTTCACATTTCAAAGTCTAAACATGGATGTCTTTGGGACTAAAAGCAATCGCATTGAGAGGTTTTTAGATTAGAGAGGTATTTGGATGGTGTTTGGATATACAAGTTTTACTGCAGATTTAATGTCCATGTGTCTATACAACCGTATGCATCAAAATGTTATTTTGCCAAAATCATCTTCACAAATACATTGTGTATGTCTTAAAGTTGTCACACTAGGCAATGTTATGTTCTTTGTTTTTATATTTTCTTCAGTTTGCTACAATTTAGAAAATTTCCTTACATTACAGGAGGCGGAACAAGAAGAAGACTGAAAAGATGCTGTTGGAACAGAAATCAGAAACTGTACAAATTACTCAAGAAAATGGCAAAATCAATGGACTCTTTGTTAAGGACTCCACTGGCAATGGTACATTACAATCAGAACATATTGAGAAACATGAGGAAATCCCTATGCATACCATGAGCACTATGAACGGTGGAGTTCTTATGAATGGCCATGGTGGGTATGTAAACGGAGGGGGTGGAATTCCCAGGGTGCAAGATCTAAATGGGGAGGAAGTCCATAGTATAAGTGAAAGTCTTCTGGGGAGTGATATAGGGAGTGAAATGGATCAGCATGATGGCTTTTACGCTAGTCCTACATCCCCAAGCAGAAATCGCAAAATAAGCACTCAAAGTATACAACGTCAGCTGGCCATTGAAGCAGCACGCAAACACAGCTCTGGAAGCCTGGAGCGCCACCTATCACCAAATTTCGAAACCCAGTCATTACAGTCGTACCCGACGGGAACACGACGTATTTCAATCATGAATACGAGTGGATATGAGACACCAATTTCACCGAATCCCGCAACACAACGTCGGGTCAGTGCGTTTGGAGAGATTACAGTCATGCCAGTTGGAAATGATGCGTCATCTGATAGACAGATAATTGTTGAGGAGGAATTTGTGACTACAAGTGAAGTATAGACTGCCAAATATGTGTATACATACAAAATTTATCAACCAAAACTGTTGATTCATGGTATTCACCATTTAGTGTTATTTTGTTAATTAAGTCGCATTTAAGTAAAAACATTCATAAAAACAAAAACAAACTACGACTATGTAATGTTCCAGATTGCTTTTTTCTGCAATTTGAAATGTTTCGTTTGAAAGTAAAAATATGGTATATGATACCATAGGCGTAGCATCCCCCCCCCCATAACCAATAAAAATAAAATAAAACCATGAGATAGAAGAAAAGAGCTTTAAAATGCTTTTTATTTGAAGATTCTAGCTCAATTTTGAAGGAAGCATCAATTTTTGTAAATTCTGAACAATCTTATTTTTTGGCTTGTTCATGCCAAAATCGCTTCCCCCTGACTGAAACCCACACACCCCCTTTCTGAAAGCTGGGTACTCCCCTGGATACTAGCTATATGTGTACACTACTTGTTGATATTTAATATTATGAGTTAAATCTAAATGATCAAAATGTTGCAATGCATTATCTATATACTGTAAGGAGCTGAATGAGAGAGAAGAGCGTAATTATGTACTATTAAAAATCTAAAATGCCCATCATTACACATGTAAATAAATGGATTATTTTTGTATTCCAAATAAGGATGACTGAATTATTATCAAAATTAAAATGTAATGATAGTTGTGAAATAGTTTCTGGAAAAGATAAAAAGGTGTCATCAAATAATCTTAACATTGCTCCAAGCTTATTATGAAGTGTTGTTATTTATGCATTATAGTATTTGTTTTATTCTTCGCTTCGCTCTCACACATGACCCACATACAATCTAAATGGGTAGTGGAGAGTTTTTGTAAATATTTATGTTGCACTTTATTTTAGTATTCATTATGCAATATACCCATGGACTTTAAAACTTCATTTAAAAGGACCCATGGACTTTAAAACTTCATTGTAAGGGACCCATGGACTGTAAAACTTCATTTAAAGGGACCCATGGACTGTAAACTTCATTTAAAGGGACCCATTCAACATTGTACAGATGCTGATAATATATGTCAGATTATAATCACAAAATAAACATGAATGTACATTAATCACAAACATACTGTATATTATTTTTATTTCTTATATCAGCACTTGAAGTTATGACAAATTGTTATAGTCTCCAACTTTTTTGTGGACGTTGTTTGGGAGTTGGTGTTTGGCATTCAGGGGTTTGGTGTTTGGTGTCTGTAACAAATGACAGATTGCACATTAATGCCTCACTTGTACCCTGAACCCTGATGCTTAGAGCCAAGTACATTAGATGCATATGAAAGTCTCTTCAAACTATTCCAAGGAGTAGTTTGTTTGGTGTGAAATACTGATATAATGTCCCAACTGGACCTTATTATGCTCAGCCTAGACAGGTTCAAATGCAAAACCTTAAGTAATATGATTTTTTTTTATCATGAAGCTGTTTAAATTTTCCACTTGGACATCTTTAAAGTGTCTCACATATTCGATCAAAATTTGCCATGCAAACATGTTAGTCTACTTTACTGGCCCCCCTTGCTGTAACAAGGAACCCAAAACACATTAAAACGTAAACATAAACCAATTAGTCACTTCACTATGAAAGTGAGGGATGTACGCTGTGTGCATGGACTAACACAATATCAGTGGTCATTTACTGTGTCAACTTAGTAACCCTTGCATATCGTGCTCACTCAAGTATTGAATAATTTTTTTATGATCTAAATGTTTGTGGTTTATAAAAAAATGTGATATGTTTTAGTTAGAAATACATTAATTAATATATTCATTCAAACAGCACTAGAATGCGGGAAGAAAGAGCAATGGTGACAAAATGCAGACAGAATTTTCCGTAAGGGTTTCAAACATTTCTGAACACAATCATACATGTACTTCATGTGTACTGTTATTTTTAGTGCTATATTTATAGATATAATTTCACGTATTAAAATCATATTTTCCAGCAATGACTTCAAATTCGGAACCACACCCATATCACATTTTCTTCAATAACTCCAAACATGTGTAAACATTGACCATGTGCATATAAATTCAGATTTCACGAGCTCTTTCCTATTCGAGTACCTCATACACCCCTGCATGGATTTGAGTTTGATTCGCCTTTTATACGTGAGCCGACACACTCGCAAACGCTGATTGGATAAAGATTGCGAGAATCTTTAAATGTTCCACTTGGACTAGTTCAAATTTTCTACTCGGACCTGTTCAAATGTTCCACTTGAACCAGACAAATTCAAATGTTCCACTTGGATCAGTTCAAATGTTTCACATGGACCTGTTCAGATGTTCCACTTGGACAAGTTCAAATGTTTCACATGGACCTGTTCAGATGTTCCACTTGGACACGTTTAAATGTTCCACATGGACCTGTATGGTGTTTAAACTGCTTCTTTATTCGGTACATTAATATTCCATAAATACCAAATAAAACAAACAATTTACCAAACCTTTACCCAATCTATCGCATGTTTTTTATTTTATCAAATGTAATAATCTATACAATTTATATTCGCTAAATAGTTTCACTTGTTCTTTGTATTGACATTCACATTTGATATTTATACATGTATTTGTGTGATGCAGCGAATCAATTTGTTTTCCTTAACGTGCGTATAATTCAATTAATTATTTGTACATTCGGTATTTAAATTATTTATATTCGGTAAATACCGAATGCCACATTCGATAAATTTCGTTATTTTTCGATAATTTACGAGACTTTTAGCCACGTGATATATTTGTACGATGTAGAATAGCTGCGCGGCCATTTTGCAAATCTCGAAGTCACGTGACAAGATATCGAACAACAACGCAAGTTATCGAATATTACTTTATTGCATTCGGTAAATAGCAAATTAACTTTCGGTAAAATGCATTAACTATGTCATAGAAAAATAAACCATTTGGTAAATATAGGCAAACTTATTTCGGTAGGGTTCAAATAGAAATTCAATATTGTGCATATAATGTGTTACTCTTAAGGAATACCATAACAATTTACGCAAAAATATCATTCAACGAATGAAATCTGTAATTTAATGCACATAGTATTAAGTGATTGGCTATTTTGAAAACTTAATTTGCTGTAACAAACATATAAACGTTTTTCCCGAATGGAAAAATGATTTAGCGAATATAAATGTTTCATATATCGAATATATTTGAATTTAATGAATAAAGAAGCAAAAATAATGCCATAGACCTGTTCAGATGTTTCACTTTGACAAGTTTAAATGTTCCACTTGGACAAGTTCAAATGTTCCACTTGGACAAGTTCAAATGTTCCACATGGACCAGTTCAAATGTTCCATATGGACCTGTTCAGATGTTCCACATGGACAAGTTCAAATGTTCCACATGGACCTGTTCAGATGTTTCACTTGGACATGTTTAAATGTTCCACATGGACCTGTTCAGATGTTTCACTTTGAAAAGTTTAAATATTCCTTCATGGACTTGTTCAGATGTTCCACTTGGAAAAGTTCAAATGTTTCCCATGGACCTGTTCAGATGTTCCACTTGGACAAGTTCAAATGTTCCACATGGACCTGTTCAGATGTTCCACTTGGACAAGTTCAAATGTTTCACATGGACAAGTTCAAATGTTCCACTTGGACAAGTTCAAATGTTCCACTTGGACCAGTTCAAATGTTCCACATGAACCTGTTCAGATGTTCCACTTGGACAAGTTCAAATGTTTCACATGGACCTGTTCAGATGTTCCACTTGGACAAGTTCAAATGTTTCACATAGACCTGTTCAGATGTTCCACTTGGACAAGTTCAAATGTTTCATCTGGACCTGTTCAAATGATCCACTTGGACAAGTTCAAATGTTCCACTTGAACCAGTTCAAATGTTTCACATGATGCAAATGTTTCACATGGTCCTGTTCAATCTTAGCACTTTGCACACATCACATTTTTATTCAAACACATTCTACCCAGATAAGTCTTGCCAGAAAATAAAATTCTGATTTAAAAAAACTTTGAAAGTTTATATCGAAATGCAAAACTACAATGTGACACACTTTGATGACACCCAAGATGTATACGATCCACCAGATGTGTGTGTGTGTGAATGTCTTGAAGACAACATGGAAGCAATATGTTACTAAAGAAATGCTCATCACGTTGCTCTATCCATATGTTCATAAATAACTTCATGTTTCAGTGACCCTTTCTTTATACAAACCTATTACATATTAGAGTTATAACAACCGTGAAAAACAACATTATGTAGCATCAGTTCAGGTGATGATTTTCAGCATATTATTTGGTGCTTGTTCACAATCACAAAATAGATTTTAAAGGTTTTGAGTTTTCATTCATAAATATTGTCTCGAGTAATTGATGGTTAGGTTTATGTATTGTATATGATTTTGCCTTCAGGCTTGTGTTCTGATCTGACTGGAATACTGATTACTTTGTAAATACAATAGTAATTAATTTAATTTCAGTTTAAATTAATTGAAGCTCAAATATGGTCATTGTGAATGCTGCATTTATGACAAATGGTGATTTATTGTGGACAGAGTAGAACTAATGCTACATACATGGGATACTTATTGTTTAGGCGATGAATAGTTTTTGTTGTTTACTGGACATGACATAAAATGGATATTATTTATGTGATTTTTGGATTAACCTGCCTGATCCCAGGTGGGAAAACAACAGGTATGTTGAGATTATTATTTTTGTTTATTTATTTATTTATTTAAATGTGATTCATTTACAATTTTTAAATTATTTTTCATTCCTCCTCATTCAACCAATTGAGTATTCTTATTGACTCATTACTATTATACAAATGTTCAAACAAATTTGTACATCATTACTCCAATTAATTTAATAAATAAATGAATGTGCATGTTTTGAAAAAAAGTTTTATGATCTCAATTATACTATTTTATTATCTTTGTATTTTAACCCCAAAACTGTTATTTATTAGTGCTTCAGTATTAATTTGATGTACATATCATCTATTGATTAAAACGTATATTCAATTGTAATTACACAACAATCTACATTTAGCTAAATGCCTGGGGTCTGGCTCATGTGATATCATTTCGAATTCATCATTGTATGAGTGATCAAAATCATGATCATTATCAATTTCATTAATATAAATAACACAATTACATTCAATAGCATTTTTATGTCACCACCAAAAAGTGGTTGTTGTCAAATGGGATTGCATTGTTTCAGGATTGATTGAAACAGTGAGCAAATCAATTATTTCCTTTATATAAAATAAATAAATATTGCATAAATTGTATTATCAAATCTGTCAAACTTCAAAATCAAGAAAGCTGAGAGAGTGGTTGCTATGGTGAAAATCAAAATATCAAATGTAACTAGGATGGAAAAGTGTGATTAAATGAAATAAACAAAGCATTATATTTTTTCATAGATCTGACGCTACATGAAGTTAGTGGTTGCTATGGTGAAGCCAAAGATGTCATATGCAATGAAGGGGAGATGATACATGTCATCAGTGATTTCCATGGTAGCAGTGACTCTGGTTGTAGGTACATGCCCACAGACAAGTGTAAAATACCAAACTTTGGATTTACCACAGAGGTTAGTTAAGAAAGATAAAGGTAGTAATTTGAGTCCATGTGGCTTACACTATTGGCTTAAAATGTACATGTATGTGTCTTCAGACAAGTGTTAGGCTTATAAAAATGAAACCTATATTTCACTCGAAACCACATGGATTGTTCTGTTGACTATAAATGTAACAAGGCTCATAATTTTAATATTCTTAGTTTTTGTGGTATGATTCAGATGTAAAATTGTAAAATTATTAATACCTTTGATCAAATACAATATAATGTTTGTTTGTTGACTGTTCTCTAGGTGAAACTAATGTGTAATGGGAAGAGCCACTGTGTCCACACGGCGGATGACAAAACCGCACGACAATTTTGTTCCCCAGTGAATGTTTATACTAACTACCAGCAGATAGAATACAAATGTGTACAAGGTACCAACACCTTTAATGGATCATTATGCATGTTATCAAAAATTCACTGTTCAAAGTGACAAAGATAGATATTGCGACTTGAACTATTCAAAAAGCTTTTCTATTTTCAAGTCACACATGTTTTTCAACCAAGACATGTGATGCTTTAAATTATCTCTTTGTAACATTTTTGTACTTTTTTAACTCAATCAAAATTGTCTGACTGGTGGTCTTCAATTCTCTGTAATGGATAATTAAAAGCATTTTTGTTTCTATCATTTATTTTACTACATTTTTGTTTCGTTGTTCATTTTGTTGCTTTACACATATTTCTTGAATTTTTTTTATGATTTTCCAATGTTACCTCTTGTACTATTTGAAGAGTTAAGAACAGATTATGATTTTTCGTGTTTTCAGAATCAGTGGTCTTAGACATCTGTTCATCAAATGAGGTATTACTAGAATCAGGTTATATCTCATCCCCAAACTATCCAAATGGTTACCTAAGCAACAGTGAATGCTATTGCAGCATACATACTGAACGTTCTGACCTCGTTCACCTTGAAGTTCTTGACCTTGACCTTAGCAGTGGGATTCCTTGCTCTGATTGGCTCGAAATAGACACTCTAACGGGACATCCCTACAGATTATGTGGATCATCTTTTAACGAGTTTACAGCAACTAACTTGACATTGAGCTTCAATAGTCAAGAAAAGACACCACATAAAGGTTTCTGGTTGTATTTTAGGAGTAAGTATGACATGTTTTGTAGAATTTATAAATGTGAATGAACATTGGTCCATTAGTAAAAACAAAGAACAACTTGTGTGATGTACCTGTATTTTTACTCATATGGTGAACATATGGAATTGCCCACCCATCCATTTGTTAGCATAAGTGTTGACATATTGATATAGTCTCCAAGTTTTTTGTGGATGGTGTTTGACGGTTGGTGTTCAGTGTTTAATGTCTAACAAATGGAAGGTGGTTTGAAATGCTTACCGATCAACGTTATTGTTTTGAGTTCACTGTTTACATACATTTAGTTGTATCTCACTGTATATAAGTGCTACAGCAAATCAATTAGGATTGCAATAAAAATGATAGTGTTTGAACAACAAAGTAAATCTCATGAATGAACACCATTAAAGATGTCTCTTAAGTTGAAATTATTGTGTATTCCAGCAATCCGTAACTCAAAGGCTCTTATAAAATGCAAGCAGATACCCAAAACAACAAAAGCAACAACAACATCATCAACAACTACAACAACCATTGCAACAACTACAGCAAAAGCAACTACCCTTGGTAGAACCAAACAACCTAAAATTGATAAATCTGTCCAAACCATACCCTATAATGGAGCAGGGATCCCGTCAAAGTATATGGTACATGGGTGTTTTGGAGCATTACTCCATTTTGAATGTGGGCCTAATGAAATGATTCATATTGTCCGTGATGTTTATGGGGTCTCTATGGATGACAGCCGATGCACATTTGATGAGTCTGATTGTTCAATAGAGGCTAAAAATCAACACAGTTTAGTAACAAAAGTCTGTACTGGGAAACAACAATGTCCAAACTTTATCGTGAATCGAATGTTTTGTGGGACAGTCACAACAAATTATCAACATGTGGAATATGAATGTGTACCAAGTGAGTAAAGCGAAAACAATTTTTTTGCAGAGATTTTTACATGCACTTTATGATATCAAGACAAAAAAGCTTTGAATTCATGGTTCATGGGTCAGAACAGAATTATTTTGATTTCTTCAGTCAATTTAATCTTAATTAAGAACAATGGTGTCTATTATATATATATATATGTGTATATTACAGTTACTTTATACTATTATAAACAGAAACGAAACAACGTCATTCACATTTTGAATGATATCCTATATTTTATTCAATGGAAGCTTTTCAATGGAAGTTTCTAAAACTCATTTTTACAAATACTGTTTATATATTTTTTATAATGTTATGCAGGAGATATAAAAGGAAATACTTTAAGAGTACAAGTATCCATTTGAGACTGTTCTACTTCCAGGAGCTTGGACGCCTAACATCTGTAGCGAATTTCTCTATAAATCCACCACATCTTACATCCGAAGCCCCGGGTACCCAAACCCATACTCCCACAATGCAAACTGTTCTTGCATAATCACCAGTGACAATGCACAGGAAATCAAACTCTCCTTGACAACATTCAGTCTCTATGACAACGATGAGAAGTGTCTTGATTGGCTGGAGATGAGCTATGGAGGAGAGGGACATAAATTATGTGGGACAAAGTTTGGACATGCAGTTTCAGATAGCTACATGTTGAACTACCACACGGATGAGCAAAATTCAGGACCTGGCTTTATGTTGCTCATAACAGGTGAGAGTAAAGGCTATTAGACTAGCATTAAGGTAGACAGGGTGGAATAAATGGTGAGACTAAATGAATAAGTACAGATGTCATGCATGATTAGTCTGACAGTTGATCCAAATGGCCCGACTTAGTTATCCAAGAACCCCTTTCATTAAGTTCTCTCATCCTGTGTATTTATATCAGGAGATGTTTATATTTATTTTATTTACTTATTTTTATTTGTTTATTTTTCATTTATCTTTATTTCAGGAGGAGATGGTTATAATGTGACAGTGACTTGTAATGTAAAACAAAGAGCCCCAACCACCACCACCAGCACAACCAGTACAACAACCACCACCACCACCCCAACCAGTACAACAATGACACCTACAACCACCACTACAATACAAACCACACCCACCACCAAAGCAGAACCAACCACCACAAAGCCCAAGCAAGACATAAATATAGATGAAGGATCACTTACAGTTGATGAGGATGATAACAACAAAGATGAACATGACATTGTATTTACAGATATTAAAAACTTTGCACATAACATCAATCTCAACATTGGCCATGATGAAACCACGGAGAACCCTGATTGGATGAAGCATACAAGTAGCGTGTTCGAACCGCCCAGACGAACAACCAATAGGATTCTAGGTACACGAAGTAGGCCAAGAGAAACCACCAAAAACATGAGACATATTGAGGCAGAGCTCAAAGTGTCGCCAACATATGCCAGTAAGAGGCCGATGAACAGAGACAATACACGCAGAACTTCTACTGCTGATAAGTTAACTAGTTCAGGAATTGACTTGAGAAATTTTGGATTAGTTAAATTGCTAGCTTTATGCATAATATTCCTCATTTATTAAAGGCTTATTTTTGTATACAATTTTTTAAACTGTTCAATAATGCTTATTTTATGTTGATGAATAAATATTAATTTGGTATACTGTAAGCTATCGTTTCAAAAACCATAGTCAGCCATTTCACCACATTATAATGCAGGAGTCAACCATGTACATATGCTTGGATTATGGTAATATGCAAAGTGTCACCACCTGTCATTTGTTACAGACACCGACCACTGAATGTTAACCCTCTTCAACAAAAAAATTGGAGACTATGACAATACATGTATGTCACTTCTTGCTAACATGAAAATATTTGAATTCAATACCATCTAGGAAGCGTATTCTTGACCAAAGCTTATATGTCCTCAAGACATACACATATAAAATCTGAACTAAATCGGTCAACTGATATTTGAGTTTACGAAAATGATGACATAATCATATTGAAATGTAGTTGTGACTATTGCCCTTACTTCATAGTTGAGGACCAAGGATGATTGGCTCCCAACATGCTTTTGTGGTTTCTTTTGATTCTGATGGTCCAATATGGTAATATTACTATGATGTTCATATCCAGACTAAATGCCTGGTCTGGAGACCAAAATGGACCCTGCCAGTCAAGAGATTATGGCAAAAGAATGATGGGAGGCAACCCTTCTTGGTTTGGGTGTAGACATAAGTCTATTGTTGGAAACACCAATGTTCAACAGTTGTTCTATTTAAGAGTATTTACTGCAACAAACAGGATTTTCTTTCAGATTTGATAACTTGTAGATTTTCATAAAATACCATAGAAATTTGGATTCTCATATCAAGCCCTTCTACCTCCCTACTCCATGTACTGATCTCCAGTAAGGGGAGTACATGTATATTGGGGAGTTCAAGAGATCTGATGCAAGACTGAAATATTTGTCAATCTTCTTTAACAGTGGGTTGGGTTCCATTCCCAGGGTGTCATTTTTTTGTCACCACCACAAGTGGTGACATTGTTACAGTCTCCAATTTTTTTGTGTTTGGCAGTTGGTGTTCAGTGTGTTTGGGAGTTGGTATTCTGCTGTTGATGTTTATATCAAATGGCAGGTAGTGACATTTTGCATGTTAGTGCCTTGTTTATTACTCTTGATAGGGAATGATGGGTTCAGATTCTTCCTACAATTCAACTCACAATAAACAAAACTCAAATGATTTGTTTTTTCTGTAAAACTTTATTGCAATAGGCAAGTATGCTCAGCTAAAACAAAGCAGGTGACTATCCATAATTCCCTAGTGTCCAATCATCTCACAGCCTCCGAGTATGCTGCATTGTGGGATACAAATACATGATTTGTATGCCATCAACACAGCAAAATGTGAGATAAATGGAAACATTGTTATTCTACATTTTTATTACATGTCATGGATAAGAACCATTTTATAATAACAACTTCAACACTCCATATAGGTGCTTGTCTAGATCGCTGAAGGTCAGGTTTATCATTTTCCCAAACTTTTCGAAACTTTAAAACTTCAAATATTCAGTAATTTAATATGATTTTCAGTTTACTCTATGCAAGAGTAATTTGTGTTTTTGTGTTGACATATCCTGTATTCTATGAAGTGGAAAAAGTACAAACTTGAATCTCAGCAAAGTAATATCTCACAAGTGATCACTAATTCATCATATATCACAAATCTGCTCAAAACAAATCACTAGATTTACAGTAAAATATATACAATGTTAATATAAAATACATGATTTAAATAATAATAATAATATTTAGTTAAATAACAATTTGTATGATTTGAAATTTCAAAATCAAACAAGTATTTTGAATTCGATCTTCCAAACCGAAATCCTAACCCTCAATTTTTTTAACTCATTTAATAAACTGGGTTTGGATATTTCTACGTTATACAATATGGCCACGATAATTTATATTTGCAAGAAAAGTAATGTCCTAGGAAATCTGGGTCTATTAACTTGACTTTTGGGATATATATTAGATATATTTTATAAGCTATAGGTTATTGAGTACCTCTTTGAGTATGCTTCGGAAACTATAATTCCTAGTTATTTTATATACACTATTAAACAGCAGTTTAGACTAATTGACAACATTTATGTCAGCACTTTTAGGTGTTACTTGTTCAATTTGTCACCATTGGTCAAGTAATCTCCAAATGGCATAACCGATTGTGATGTCATAATTAGCATAAAACAGCGCAGTTTGGTTATCTTGTTTCCGTCTAGGCTGGTTTGCATCATAAAGGTGGCGCTGAATTAAGCTAATTGTGAAAAGGTTATCGTAAAATCGAACCTGAAAAAAATTGATCCCTCTTAAAATTTCCCAGGCTGTATTTTAGGACATAAGGGACATACAGAGAAGTTCTGTTCTTAAATGTAACACTTAAGGTCTCAATAACCTTGAACCTTAAAAGGCAGTTATTAACATGTATGCTATTATTCACACTTTAAGTGTTACATTTAAAATGAAGCAAGTGACTATGAAAGTTCGTTTGAATATTATTAAATATTTTTGTTGTCATTTTTTTTCATTTTCGACTTTTTTACTAAAACAAGTTAGTGGTGCATAACAAATTAGCATGCATGCTATCATAATAAATATTTTTGTACAGAATATTTCATATTTTCTAAAGTTCAACTGATTGAGTACAGAACACTCCTTTCAACAAATACACAACACTTTATAGTGTGCGATATGTTTTGATATAACTAAAATATTACAATACTTTAATGACTATCGAAAACTCAATTCTCTGTTCCCATACTCCAAAATGCTTTTGTAAATTTTTCAGTTTTCAAATCTCTCAAATAACAATATTAAAATTCGCCTAACATCATTATATCTTGTATATAATCATTTTAAAATTCATTTTGTAAAATTCTTGTATAAAATTCCTCATTTTGTTCATACTAAAAAGATGATAACATGAAAGAATAACGTGATGATACAAAACAGTTTGAATAAATTACAAACAAATTGACATAAGGGTTGCAAATATTCATTATAGTCTCTACAGACCAATAGCATAGGTTTTCACACAAACATCTTTACAGATTTTCTAAAAAGAGCTCTAAAAATTGACAGAGACTGAATATTGAATCTAACATTACATACAAGTATATAGTTTACTATATCTTTAACTGGCAGTTGCACTATTTTATTTTGAATTAATCTATTGAAATTCTGATCCCTGAATCGTCTGGACAAATATTAGAAATTTTTGATGACATGCAAAATGATTCTCAACAATGTTTATTGTACTTCTACAATTTTTATTGTATGTACTCAACAAAGTTTATTGTAAATACAGGCCATCCAGGGAGGGTACCTAATGCCTTTTAAATGAAGTGTATTATTAACTTCATGAAGATTCAATTATGATAATAAGTTCACAATTTTTTATATCTACAACTACTTTTTTTTAAATGAAACCATAAACTAAAAGTTTCAATAAGTTGTTTTTATAAGTGAAATTAAAAAGGTAAATAAAATCTTAGATTTAACCTTTTTGAAGTATATAACCCTAATTACTATATGTAAGTAATCTAATAAGTCTCAAACGAAAAAAAATTAAATGCAGTAGAGTTTGCACAACCATGTTTGTTTGTAAACCAATCGTAATTGTGAAAAATAACATGCACAAAACTCAGTCGCTTTTTTAAAGAACTCATAAAGTCATTTTTGAACAGAAGAGTTAATAAACAGTGCTGGGATCAGGCATCAGTGTTGCCTAGTTACGACTTCTTGTTGCCTAGTTACGGCCGCATTCGGGACACAAGATTTCCTCGGAGTCAGTCAGGAAGCCCTTGCCGACCAAAGAGATGTTGCAGCGATAGCAAACAAAGCAGTCGCTATGCCAGTGGCGTTCCTCAAACGAAATAAACTTGGTACCACCCAATCCTGAAAATAACATTTCATAAAAGAATTTAATAATCTAAAATTGAGCTCTATCCAATACACTGAATAAGATAATCATAAAATGGCCATTATTATTTTGATTCCTATTTTAGACATCACATTCATATTTTACCTTCTTTTAAACTTCTATTTATACAAAAATAAATGTTAACATAAATAATTTACAAAAATAAATGTTAACATAAATAATTTACAAAAATAAGTGTTAACATAAACAATTTACAACATAATTTATTAATTTGTATCTCTAATCAGTGTATGTCTTAATTTAAGACAAAAGATATGAGAAGAAAAATCATACTTTAGACCAAAACAATTTTAATGTTAGCATCTGTGCATATATATTCAATACAAATGTGTTGTCAAAGTTAAGAGAATGTGAAATCAAACACTGCACCATTGTTGAAAGTTCACCAATTGAGAAAACAGATAATATGTATTACATTTTTTTGTGTCACATTATAAAGAAAATCAAGATAAAAGTCAATTATATCTTAAACTGACAATATTTCAGTCAATGAGTTACACCACATGAAGAAAAGGTGTACCAAAAGATTATTACATCATCTGGTACACCCCTCAAAGATGTTGTGGTAACCATGGTAACACAAATACATTAATCAACAACAGGTGGTTAGGGTTAGGAATACAAGGTTCCAGGAACAAACACTTTATTAGCATGTAACCCAAGGAACAAAGATGTGTCATGATGTGTCAAATAATGTGTCAAACTTGAATGATGTGTCATCAATTGTGCTATGAACTATGTTGTAATAACAGTATGCGATCTATGCATGATGTGCAATAATTGTAACATGGCAGAATGAGATGTGCTATCAACATAATAACCAATGTATATAATCAGTCAATGCAAAGAAATAGCTGGAAATAGCTTGAACATAACATATAGCTAAAAGAACTACATTTTATGGAATATTTCCTCGATATAGTTTCAAAAATTGTTCGTAGTCAAAACTCAAACTATTAATCGAAATCAAATTTCATTTCTACTTCAATTCACATTGAAAAGATTTTTAAATAAAATAAAAAAATCAGATCAAATCATCAAACTATAATATATGAATAACATATAAAATCAGTAGAGTAAATCTTGTTTACTTCTAAGAGAATGTGTCATACAGATTCTAAACCTCTAAATATATTAATTTTTGACTATGAGATATCCCATGTCATTTAGAGCTGTTACATAACACCTTGTTGCGTTAAAACACACGTGGAAGATGGAGCCATAAAAGTTCTCAATTTTCAAAAAAATTGATGATTATGTCATACACTGACTTCAATAAACTTGTCAATGTTATTTTTTATATGATTCTTAAATAAAAAAAAATAGACAAAGGGTTGAGGGTTGTCAACATAATCTGATATCCATCCCAAATCATTGCCAATAACGTATTTAAATCTGAACATTATGAAACATATTGAGAATGTTTTAGGCACCACCTTTTGAAATGTTATGTGCTTATATAAGGTATCCCAATATTAGTACCTTCGCCGGTGAAACCTAAAATCAGCGAAAAAATATTTTGAAAAATATTTGCACACATTTGAATATATACATCAACTAAATCTTACTGATATTTGTTAATTATAAAATAATAATAATTTTATTGAAATAATTTCAGAAATAAATTTTTTGTTTTAGATGCGTAAACAATGAAACATAAAGTAGGAAGAAGTACTTCATCATCATATAAATATTCTTAAATAGTCTTATTTATAAGAATACCAAATTCAAATATGCACAAATTGTGTATCTATATTATAGGTAATACACATTCGCATAAGCAAAGAAAGCCTGTGAATAAACATGGGTCGAAATAGAATCATACATTTGTTTCTGAATACCCATACTGGAATTAATTTAAAACTGATTGTAAATCTAAACTTGATCATTTTGCCAATGGACAGATTTTGATAAGTGCAGAAGATATCACTTATTGCATTCATATCCGCATTGTGTTGACTCTTATGTTTATACATGTACAAATATCTTTTGTCATTCCCCAATATGTGGGGCTTCCAGTTGCATTGCAGGGGTGGAAAGTTCAGTGTTGGTGTGTGTTGATTGGTCGAAGAAAGCATCATAAGTGGCCATGCTCAAATGCAGGGTCAACACACTTGAAACTAACATGCAAAAGACAACCAGGTCGACCAATAGTTTAATTCAAATCTTTCCCCTTTATATTGGAATACAATCGATAAAACTAGATTATCACCCTGGTTATTTTGCATGTGTCTGAATGAATACACAGAACTCATAAACATATTGAACGTCACACAATTTTTAGCGAAGCATTATATCAGCCACAACTTGGTGTACACAGAACTGCAATAACCTAGAATAACATAGTTGAATATGTAACAAGTTTTTATAATTGATCGGATTTGAATTTCAATTGATTTTATCATAAATGATCTTTAACATCACAATATGAAAGCCTTGTTGAAAAAATGTGAGGCTGCCTGAAACTGCGTTGAATGACAAATATCTGCATTTCAAGCTTACTCATGAACTTATTTAAGAGCCCATTAAACACAATTAAACATTTAAACACTTTAAATATTTCTCTCATTCCCATTAGCCACATATATATTATATGAGTTACTGTAATACTATTGTATGAGATTTTATTATGCTATTTATTTTTAATTTTCATCAATCAATCTTTAAATTTTAATTTTATGCACTAGATATAGCGACATCATGAAAATAATCTAAAATTTTTATGAATATTATGTTACATAATCAACTGGGCATTAAAACTGATGTAAAATATAAAATGAAGCAGCAGAGAATTTAGTGGAGTTGTACCCGATGAATTTTCTGTTGAAAGTAAACTTTTAACATAATAGTAGAAACTTAGAATGAATTTGTAATTTCTTATTTAGTTTTAGTTCCCCCATCTTACGTTGAGGTAATCACATACTTTTGATGTAATTTATTCCATACTTTTAGGGATCAGTAGAATATCAATTTCTACATGATTTGGGGTGGAAGTACTTTCAAGAGAAAAGTAGTCAATTTTGGTTTTAAGGTGGCTTGAGGGTGAAATACAAAATGATGCTGTTGTCTTCTCGCCACATTTGAGTTGTGATAAAACTTTTATCAACCAACTTACATGTTCTGTGGTACAAATGATTGTGCTACACTGTATTGTGTTGTAATACAATATACAATACTGGCACTATGATACGTATATCAATTTCACAATATGTTGAATGTACTATATTGTATAGGATGACAATATATCATTATACACTGTACAATACTTCACTGCACTACACATCACAATTCCTTGTGCTAAGTGTGACATTGCAAGGTCAAATTGCTTTATTACAAAAGTACAAAATCTTTCATTTGTCAAAATTGAACTCTGCCATGTAACAGGTACAATTAATTGTACTGCAGAACTCGTATCATCTATAAATGTTTTAAAACAACAATGCGACGGGGTACCATTTTGTAAATCAACCACACTTTCGCTGGGGACTGTTTTTTGAAAACATTGTAGATTATGACTCCTGCATTTCAGTTGCCTGTCATGTAACCATGGCAATTCAAATGTCTATAATGATGTAACCATGGCAACAGCATGACGGCTTTTGAATACCATGAACCTTAATTAACAACATTTTCAAAAATTAGGCTCCAAGATGAGAAAATAAGCCACTGGAAGATGTGTCCAAGAGAAGCTGAAGATGAAGGGTCATGAAAGAAACATTCATTAACATCAATCATCTTTAACATAATGGTGAAAACAGCCATGAATGTGACATCAATAAATGCAATAGGCCCATGCTGAGCTCCATGTAAAAGAGTATACGAATTACAGTAAAACCTGTCTTAGTGAACACCTCTCTCTAGTGAACACCTGTCCCTAGTGGACACCCTTCCTACGCACATAGTCCACTGACTTCTGTATAAATTACCCTCTCTCTAGTGAACACCTACCTACAGTGAACGTTTTTTCTTGGCAAAAAAATGTTCACTATACACAAGTTTTACTGTAATGCATTTTTATCAATGTGTATTAAAAATTTCAACATGCGCCTTTTTAAGCTTCAAAAATGTCATTCGAGGCAATACTCCATCATTTGAATTAGATGATATGATATCAAGATTCATTATTCAGCTTCAGTTACATTGGACCACATCCATAATTGATGAATATTAACCAGTAAAAGGTATTATAACATACCTATGATGATGTATAGTACAAAGTGTACACAAGACAGCGGGCCAATATAAGTTTTGAAAAGCCCGCGCCCGCTAACTTTCTGATTGGTCAAGGCGCTGACGTCATAACCAATCAATCGAAGATAAAACTGCGCGAGCAATTTTTCTAAACTCATGTCAATCATTTTCAAACCATTTGTTTGTCAATTCTATAAGAAAACGGTACTCTCTGACCAGTCTACATCATCATAGGTATGTTATAAATCGTTTATGTCACTATCGTGGCACATATGCCCTCGGTTCTCAGAGATCAATGTCCCTCCCAAGGTCGGGCCATATATCACTGAGACCACGGGCATATATGCCACGATAGTGACATAACCTCTAAATATGGCTCATTCCAGTAAACAGCCTGGCCATGCGTACAATGTATACCTATCTAGTCCGAAACTAGTGTACACGCTGTGGACCCCTTGCTGGGATTACAGTGGGGCCATGGGCCTGAGTGGGCACCTTAGTGGGCTTTGGGGCAGTTGGGGTATAATGTTGCCCCTTGGGTGGTATAACAGTGGATACTTCAACACGGCTTGAGTGAGTTGATTTCTGAATTTGACTAGAAGATTGATGTTGGGTTTGGATTTTTTGAGGGCCCCTTGCTGGAATTACAGTGGGGGTGTATATTTCATGTTGAATGGGTACAATCTGGGGGGTATGGACATTAGAAGGCTGTGATAATCGCCTGGCTGGGATAACAGTTGGCGTATGAGTTGCAGTTGGGACTACTTTTCTCCCCTCAGGGGGTCCAGGATCTTGATCCCTGGGGGAAAGGGCTTTCTGGGCTTTACTGGGCTGGTAGAATATTGACCGGCTATTACGCCTGACCATATTAACGGCAGGGACTGATTGGCGACGGGCTTGGACATAAACTTCAGACCATGGCACTATAAGATTGTATTTTAGATGGACTGTCAGAGAGGCCTTGTAAAAGTAGGGGTGCATGTGGTATGTGGTATCTGTGGAAAAAAAGTATAAATAAAATTCAATTAAACTACAACTAAGTTTTCAAGTTTGGATCAAGACAACCAAGAAAGTCCGCAAAATTCAAATTATTCAAATCATCTGTCTTTATAACAATATCTAAATATAAATTCATTGAAATAATAATCAACCTTGGTTGTATGGATCATTTAATTAAATAATAAAATTAAATAGCGAACAGCCACTATAAGTAATTCAAACCTTAACGAAATATCTACAACATACGTACATATATTAAAGCATATCAAAATCTGTCCTTTGGGTATTTACGAATACAGGATTCTATCAGAACTACACAAAAGGAATTTTTATATTTGACGAATTTCTAGACGCAAAATTTGCTTTCAATAAACACCTTACTGGTAGTATAACAGCGGTGCATTATCAAGCTCTCCAAAATGCCATAACAAAATTATCAATATAATCCAACTCCAAAAATTGCCGATTTTACCGATGCAGTTAGGGGGGATGATGAAGGTAACATGCAGAAGCGCTACCTATGTGTACTCACCAGTAATGGGGGCAGTGCAACGGCAACACTTCTTAGCGAACAGCTCTCCAAAGCAGTTAGCGCAGTAGGGTTTCTCATCACGGGAGGTGAACTTCTCGCCCGCTAGCTGACTTTGGCAGTTGGTGCACGTGAAGCATTCACGATGCCATGGGGCTTCCTTGTAGGTAACGCCACCTTTGTTAATAACCTTAAAACACATCAAACAATATGAAGATATCGAACTCGCGATTCAAAAACTATATTTTTCGAACAAAAATAGATTTACACTTTTCATCTCATATATACAACATATCTTCATGATTGTGACTTTTCAATGCTTTTAAGGTTAAAATGTTTAATAATAATTAGTTTCTTGCAGATAACCACATATTAAAAGGTAATTCAATGATATGAAGCAATGACTCCAGATATCCTAGTACATATTTCAATATATATGATAAAGCACAACACGTAATTCACAAAATATTTCATGCAAAGCTTTAAACTCATCTGATTCATCTAACAAAAATGTGATTTATTTTGACATTCCATTGTAAAATCTATTGATAATTGTTGATACAAGCCCTGAGTTAGAAACCTCTTTTTCACACATATAATGCTCGTATAAACATCTCGGACAACACAGCGTCATACCTTCCCGCATGCTTTACACTTATCAGCGAAGTGTTCCTCATAACAAGGCATGCAAACAACTTCTTTCTCCATGGGAACGAAGCGTTTTTGTCCAATAGGCTCATCACACTGCTTGCATCTAAAACACTCTTCATGCCAGTGCTTGCCTTTATGCTCGAACTTTTTCTTGCCTTAATGTACAAAACATGCAAGCTTAATTAGTATAGCATACATTTACATGCATTTTAGGTTATTGAACAGGGGTAGGGTCCAAATAAAGGGAAGAGGATGGGTAATGTCCAACTTGTTTTATTTTAATGAATTGAATGCCTTTACAGCATCATCATCTGCTGATTGTTAAGCGCAGCAGTTAATGACAGTTATTTAATACTCAAAAAAGCTGAAAAATAACCTTAAAGAAATAACTCAAAAATCTTTAAAAAAAAATTTTAAAATAACAATTTGACAGCTATAAAGGTTTTCAATTTCCGATATCATTTCATAAACAAGTTGTTCATTTTATTAATTACACTGCAACAATATGAACTTATACGAACAACAAATTGTTATCTTAAGAGTATTATTCAGTCAGTACAATGTCAGTTTCATCCACATGCACCTAAACAATATAAAATGAAACAAACATGCTTAATAGTTAAGGTTGGACCGGGGGGGGGGGGGGGGGGGGGTAAGGTGTGTTCATTAGTATAGAAACAAGGTGTTTGTTGGAATTAAATGGATAAAAACAACAATTAAGCAAAAATATTTTGTTCCTCACAGAACTTGGATCTCCATGCTTCGCTGAAAACTGAGTTTGATGTTAGAATTAAGCTCAGGACACCAGTCTTGCATCATTGGTTTCCTACATCATTCTCCATATCCCATAGCAGAAGACATGATGCAAGTCCAAATAATCATGGGTTTTCAAAATAGAAAGCCCATGGTCCATTACAGTGGTGGGGTGTATAATATGGGGACTTATTTAACATATAAACCATGTGGTTTCAATAGAAAGCCCATGTATAAACAAGGGGGTAGGTATAGTTGAATTATGGATTCTATTGTAATAGCTGGATATAGTAAACGATGCGGGCTCAAGGATTCACATTTAGTTGATTTTGTATAAGTCCTTCTTCCCTAACTGACTCGTTTCTACTGTTCAAATGATGATCTAATATCCCTATAACTCAGTGTCTAATGAGGGGTGATACTCCTATGCATCAGTTATGACACAATGCGTTGAATTTTTTCAAGAATCCATAATTTAGCTTAAATATCTTGGGTACAGTCCTACAATGTGATATAAATACACATGCAATGATTAATACACATGCAATGAGCGTGCTATTACCTCATTACACTTCATGCAACGTTGGGCAAATTTTTCCTCATAACAAGGCACGCAAACAACTTCGTTGTCACGTGGGATGAAACTTTTGTTTCCGATTGGCTGAGTGCATTCCTTACAGCAGAAACACTGTTCGTGCCATTGCTTGCCTTTGTATTCATACTTCTTCATTCCTAGAATGTTAATAGTGGTGGTGTTACACAGGGAGGCACTTTAGGTGTGTTCTTGTTTGTCGCAACTCCATATAAGGGTTTGATTTGGGTTTCATTTTAGGAACCATACTGAGCAGGGTATGGAGAAGATTTATCAGGGTATTTACTAGACTGCACTAGTCTTATTTTAAGGGAGATTCAGAAAGTAGGGTGTACATTTCATATTGGAGGGTTCCATGTTTTATAACTCGAATATGGGAGGGGGGGGGGTCTGTCTGATCTGGGCTTTTACTGAATGGTTTTCTATTTGGAAGAATTTGTAACCCATTTTAGGTTAATGATGTTATAAAATGCAGAGATGATATAAAGTTAAAGGGATTAAAAAATTAAAATAAGTAGATGCAAAAAGCATATATATTATTTATACTGGTTAATAAAAACACAGAATAAAATCCTGTGCTTTCAGTTGATGTTATAGATTAAGTATCAGTCATTCATATTACATATCAATTGATAATAGGTTATAATGTTGAGAAAGGTAAGGCTATTCATTGGTTAACATACTCAAGACAAGATAATATTTTAGGGAGTCAGGGTTGGGTAGAGGGAAAATAGAATAAATTGATTGAGGCCTAATTGGTTACAATCCTGTGATGTATCTTCTACAAGACCATATGGTTAGTACATCAAGCAGCTACATTTGCACTGATTGCCTTATATGGACATTTGTGTTGATTTCCTTATATGGATGACTATATATTGTATGCTTTGAGGATTATATGAACGTGTAAATCTAGCTGCCTCAATATTAGTACAGTATTAATTGTCAAATCACTTGGTGTTACCCAGAACATAAGGACCTGGATCTGTCTGAATTCCCCAAATCAAAATTTGCCCTGCATATTGCTCAAGTCAGTTTCCAACTCATAGTATATGATGATGAAGAAGTCGAGGATATATCTGTATGGCTATATCGCTATTCTAGAGTATATTTCATGCAGTGCACTTGATCTGGTAATAAAGTATCTTTTTTAAGTCTATTTTAGGGTCGTTGTGATAATCGTTAAATCAAGATTTAGTAAATTACGATAATGTTGAGAGCTAAAGCTAAATTGAGTATTTCTGGCTTGGGCAAGCTTTATTTAAAGTACAATGTATATATCGCCATTTTGTCCAGATATTTAGATTCTGGGTAAAACAAGTGATTTGTCAATGTTTAGTGTATAGTAGTAGTTCATAACCATGTGAGCAGTCACAAGCACATTGGCATCTCCTGAAATGTCTGAAACAAAGCAGCAGTGTGCAGTTAGCACCCCTAGTAACAGTAACCATAGAAACGGGTCTATTTCCATGACAAAGCAAAATAAGGAACTCACTGTTTTTATAAGGAGTATCAATTTAAAATTCCAAGTACATGTATTCAATCAAAGGACATGTAATTGGAAGTCCATATTTTGCATCATAAAAGTATAGAACTATTTCTTCTGGCGGACTGTTATAAGGATGTGTTAGGGTGCACTTAGGTTAGGTGCACGCATGGGCATGCAGTTGTCTCATTCCGCCAACATCATGTGACATTTACTAGATTCTAACAGCCAATGAAAACAAAGCAAACTCCACAGCATATCTCTGGGTGCATTACACAGCACAACCATATCATAATATCTACAGGGATGGTATAGTGTGACATATGTGATATTTAGAGAAATGTGTACTAAACTATATTCAACTTTGAAGAAAATTTTGATCATGTTGATAACATTGACCATCTTGATATTATGAAGAGGTATTCCAGCCACACACGTTTTCATTGCTTGTTTGAAAAATCAGCTGTAATCACCCATTGTTCTGTCAACCAATCAAACAATTGATTGTTCATCCAATCAATTTATTGATGAATGAACCGTTTAATCAACAGAACTTTTAAAATGCCTATACTGCACATGTAATTTAAACGAGGACACATTTTCCTCAATACATGTACTGTACATGAATTTTGCTAAATTCAGCAAATGTATTAATAACATGGGTGAATTAGCCATCGTCACATGATGTTACAGCACAATGAGGTCTCGGAGACATGTACGCATTAGTACCTCGGTACATTTGAGGCATCTTGGTGCAAATTTCGCCTCATAACAAGGTATACAGACAACTCCGTCCTCCCTGGGGATGAAGCTCTGGGCCCCAATGGGGTTGTTACACTCTTTGCAAGTGAAACATTGCTCATGAAATTGCTGGCCTTTATAATCATATTTCTTCATTCCTGAAAACATCAAGATTTCATGAAATTGGATGGACATAAATAGATATTCATTTTCAGAATACATACACCTTAAATATAAATATACTGTTCATAGAATATACAAAATATATTTGTGAATTCCTTCCTTCAAAAAACATGTATAAAGGATAATATTTTTAGATTTGGAAATGGATCAATTACAATCTAAAATAATTGCATGATATCACTATTAACGAATTGTCATAAATAATATCTTAGAATTTTCATTATTATAAGAAAATATATTAATATTTTGATAATCCCCATATCAGTATACATATCAATTATGACATCATAAATCATGTGACATACCTGCTCTAAAGATGTCACCACATCCATCACAGCGAGCGGCAAAGTTCTGGTCGTGGCACTCGGCACAGAAAAGTTTCTCATTCTTTGACGCGAAAGGCTGATCGACCAATGAGACATCACACTTGGAGCAGTGGAAACACTTCTCATGCCAATGTTTCTCTTTGTAGGAGAGATCCTAGAAAACATGGATGACAAATATGTGAATTTATGACATACTTTTCCTTTTTTTCAGATTGCTTTCTATATTAATATACATTTTGAATCATTGATTTCTGTTTTGTGTTTTATGTTCATGCCAAAATGAAATAGCTAAAATTGGTTGGTAACTACAAATGGTTTTGGTCTTAAGAACTGGGCAGTATTCACCAACAAGTATTGCTGGTTCAACCTCTCTATAGTGAACACCTTTATGATGACATATAAGTGGACACACTGACAGTTTCATAAAGGAGAGGTCCTGGTAACATGGGCATCAATGGGGTTGTAACCAAAAAGGGACAAAATGGGTTAACATTTCCATGTGTTCATTTTAGATAGGTGTCACTGAACTGAACTGGATCATAGTTCTGTTAAAACAATTCAATTCGTCTTATTTTATACTTGTATACGACATTGATTGACATGAATAAGACATATATTACACTTTATGTAAAACCACATTTCATTAGCAGGTACTGGATTTCATCTTGGAACTCGCCCCTTACAACCCTAAGGTTAGGAAGTCCAAAATGAAGTAAAAAAAACACTCAAGACTCAATAAAAGTCAGAAATCAGCGATACAAAATATAGTAATTAATAAGCAAGAGACCAGTTTGAGCACAGGCTGTGTTATAAAATAGGCACCCCCTCTACTCTTACTATTAAGTGTAGAGGGGGTAGTATTATACAGCCTGTGGGCCTGTGGGCCTAAGGGATAGTAGACAGTGGATCCGAAAATGGCCTATGGTAGTTTCCGATAAAAGCATAAAATCTAAAAACAATTACTTGGGTGGTACAAACTTGGGGACTGAAAAACATCAAAACAAAAATTACAATTACAACTCAAACTTTTTGATATAAAACGGGGTTGGACGTGAATTTCAAATTGGCAGTATTGTCACCTGACCCGCTGGTCCTCCATCTTTGGCCTTGTGTGCAACGCTCTGAAAATATCAGAGAAAATTTGTTTTAATGCCCAAATCCCAGATTAATTACTGATGAGAAATACCTTATATATAAGGGACTACATGAGGTATATATGAAGTCTATATGAAGTTTATCCAATGTCTACCTGAGGTCTATGTGGTAATACACTGAAAATGATGAGCTTATAAGAAACATTGCCAAAATAGCAATGCCTAAACAGTATGCACTTGGCTTGTTTTAGCTCTTAAAGATGTTGCATAAAAACAAGGCATTCCTTGAGACCCATGAGTTCAAATTGAGGAGAGGAAATAAATGCTACAAACATTTTTTGGTATTTTGGGTGATCTTAGGTTATACAATGATTAAAGACTGGCATTTAAAACAATTGAAAAACAAATATTTTCGTGATGCAACCAAGACTGCCTAAAAGGATCTAGATCTATTAAACTTCCAATAAATCTCAAATAGATCGTTAACAGTTACATAGGGCTATATCAGAATGCAATTATTCATTCTTATTTTAAGATTGACCTATACAAAACTGGCATAAGAATCCTATATGCTGAAGACTCGCTAAGTAAGATCATAATCTCCTTCGATCTTGTATAATAGGTCTTATTTTAGTTAAAGTGTTAAAGTTAGTTTCTATATAGGAAATGGCAGACAGATTTACTGCTAAAAAACTGGAGATTGGCTCAGAATCCCTAGGCCTTCAACGGTAAAATATTGCGGCAAGTAAAGATTACCTGTGGTAAAGTAAGTTACGGAAGCAAAACCATCTTGTAGCTAGTTACGCATAGTTTGATCTCAAATGGATGAAATTTCCTCTGATGTTCTTCATACTTGCTTACAAGTTGGGAAATTAAAGATGGATGTACCTTTCAATAGAAATATCTTACAATTCCACTCATCACTTGAATATTCCTTTTAAATCTGAAAAATGCTGAAGATATTGATAATCTATTTGTTTATCACATTTTGTTTATCACATTTTACACAGTGATCTCCCATGAGAGCAAGTGGGCGCAGCAACCAGTTGAAAATCTGAAAATTATATGCCCCCCTCCCCCGTCAGTTGAAAATCTCTGCACCCAGCCAAAAGTGTGAAATATTGAGATATTTTGACCAAAAACAGATAGAACGAGGATATAGCACCTAGATGAGAAAATATCCGGAGAGATCCCTGTAACGCCATTTTACCCTATACACAGAGCAAGCCAGCTTTTTTTTGTTTTACCCGGCCAACATACCTTGGAATCAGTGCCGATGGTAGCTTTGCACTCCTCACACGTGTTAGCGAAGGTTGCCTCGTAACATACAATACAATATGGCTTCTCCTCACGCAGGATGTAACGGTGACCTGTTAACGATTTCTCACACTTGATGCAGGCAAAATGGCCCTGATGGAAGTCTTCATCCATGGCTTTAGTATACTCCCCAGAGAATATCAACTGGAAATACACAATATGTGAAGATAAATAATCAAGTCCATATGTATATCTAGTACATATTAAAATCACTTAAATAGTGTATGTAAGAGTGACAAAGGCGCCCAAATAATCTATGTGAATAAAATGAAAATATACATTTTCCTGGTTTGCTTTGAAACATTTCCTCAATGACATTTTACATATCCCTAATAATTGCAATCGCCTGACTAAAAGATCGTGATAGAACAACATATAATACATGAACATATATGAGAACCTAATAAACAATACCATGACATGCCAATTATCTAGTTCAAAATGTCCAATTTACTGTAATATGTATTGTGAAAGAGTTTGGTTTAGTATTCCATTCTGTCAAATGATACAGCTAGCTTCCTTAATTAATCTGCAAAATCATGCTAATCAAAGTTTGCTAATTTCAAAATTACATATTATATTATTCCGAGTGTTAAAATATGATGTTTTACCTTTAATTAAAATCCAACTGTACGGAGTGATACTCTAAACATATTTTTTATCACATTTATTTATCATTAACTTTCAAGGGCTTGTTTCATAATCATATATTATTTAATAATTGAAGTTTCCAATGAGAATATGTATGACAAAAAAGGAACTTTAAGTTTAAAGCCCACACCCAACATGTTCAGAATTTACTGATCTCAAAACATTGGAACAAAAAATAATGAATTCAAATCTACATATATTACATAATCATGATTTTAAGTATTTTCTTGACATTGTCCCTTTAACATACTCAGTGACGAGTCTATTCCAAATAAAAACACACAGGTAGTACATGATTGCAATCTGTATATATATTTGATTAAATTTTTTTACCAATTTGACCTAGACAGTCAAGCAGTCTAACAGGAGTGTTTATTTAGATTACAACACATTTAACATTATATTCCAGCCCTAAAACACATTGTCCCTTTAACATACTGAATGACGCTATATTCCAAATAAAAACATATGGGTACTTGATTGCAATCTGTATATATATTTGATTAAATTTTTTTTATCAATTTGACCTAGACAATCAAGCAGAGGAACAGGAGTGTTTATTTAGATTACAACACATTTAACATTATATTCCAGCCCTAAAACACCTCATGTCATCTACTACAAATACTTCCACATTCCAAACATGTGTATGTCAAATTTCAATTAAAGGGCCTCATCCCATAATGCTGATACTAAAGCAACCAAAGTTCTGAACACAATGATCTGGAACATTTAGTTTATCATTTAATTGTTGACTTAGTTAGTTTGAGACTATCTTCATCACTTGTTTTTATAGATAATACACATACATGTATACTATATATTTATTATATAATAAACTGGTAAATTGTTTTTGAGCTAATGAACTAATCTTATAATAGCCTTAGAGAATGAAATGCTACAAAATGACTCATAATCAAATATATTTTTGGCTCTATAAGTTTAGAGATAACATATTGAGGAAATATGTTTGAAATATGTATAAACAGTTAGTTGGGAAATGAAAATATGTGTTCAACTGTGAACATGCAGTAACCATGTGCTTCTGTAGATAATATTATAGTAAGTGTTGTGTAGATATCGGATTATTTTGTATTTGTACAGTAATACCTGTCTAAGTAGAACACATTTGGTACTTCGAAAGTGTTCCACTTGGGAGATGTTCCGCATATACATATATAAAAGGTTAAAGGTTCATTTATCATTCATTCATGTTAAAGGTTCATTTATCATAAAGTCAGTTTGTCTTGGGACTCTGAAAAGTGTTCTAGTAACAGTGTTGCACTACTAATTGTAGACTTTCTTCATTAACTCTTCAAAACTTAAAGGGTATTAACTCTTAATCAGAGTACAAAGCTCTCCAAGCTCTTGAAAAGGGTATCAGATGCACTCTCCAATTTCATAAATCTCCTAAATCTCATCTACCTGGTTAAATTTAGATTCCACACAGGAAGATACAAAGAGTGCCATAGATCATGATGACTAATCGTATTTCACCTTGAAGGGTCTGCTGGATGAACTGAATTGTGGGTTCTATATACTATTTTCTCTCAGAACGAGAACAGAGACTCCCACCATAAGATCCAGATAAAGAAACAAGAGAAGAGGAAATGGCTTTTGCCAACTGCCTCTCAAAAGGGGGCTTCAACTGATATTTTACCGAACTAAGGATTGACAAAATAATGTTAAAGTAACTACTGAAATTAGTCAATCCAAACAAATAATTCCTGGACTCTATGTTGGTAGTGTTTACTGCTTACTTCTGGGATTTGTGGTAAAAAGGGAAAAGAAGGATGGGCTCAATAGGCAAGTTCCTCTGGAGTGTTGGTCAATAAAGATTATTATAGGCAAAAGTATTCATGGGGAGACCTATCACAACAAGGTAGAATGCCCATTCTGATTCATCAGAGTCTCTCAAAACATAGGGAAAATGCTCTCTATATAACAATACCTCCATGAGAGTTTTTAAAACACGTGAAATGGCAAATATGTTGATTTCCCATTATGATAGTCATTACATCTCCTTTAGTGTTGCTTCAAGAGCCTGGCCCCCTTATCTACTTCAACAACTCTTGTTGAAGTAGGGGGGGGGGGGGTTACATCTCCTTTATTGCAATGAAAAACATCAGATTCTCTTGATTGCCAATTTTCAAAATCTCCGATCAGAACCAGTCTTCAACTCAGAGAGTGCAAGACATACTGTAGGATATAAAGGTAATTTGGCAAATACAGGTATGTGTGAATTAACTGATAGACACAACATTAAATACTGCAGACAGTCCGCAGAATCCATCCCTAGATTCCAGGCTGAAGTATAGTGGTGATGCAATGTTCGTATGTTTCCTTGAAATATGTTGATAAATTGAAAGACAATTACAACCATCAAGCAACAAACCATTCCTTTTCCTCATAATTTCTAATTTTACCCATTATTCATTCCTCTTTTTAGTTTATCAAACAAGAAATGATCTAACCACATCAACATTTTTACTTGGGCTTATGAATAGTGCTGCAGCTAGAACTTAACCTTGGGTATCAGAGACTAGTATACGAGAAGAAGGTGAAGCTCTCTTTTGAAGGAGTAAAACCAAACTACTGAAAAGGATAAGTTAGAACCTACTTGTACAAGATTCAGGTAAATCAAAATAAACTTAGAGTTAATCAGTTGGAATTACCTCATTAGATTCTTCAAAATGTCAATTATGCCATAATTGTCTAGAAATCTTGCTTTAATATTTCCTTTATATGAATGATAATTCAAAGTAGTTGTAGGAATTATGAGAACAGAAAATTAGAGGTTGTTGAACTGGAAATCTAAAGCAAATACAGAATTTATTATGTCATATGGAATCATATATATGCAGTAAAATCTGTCTAATTTGAACAACACTGGGACAGCTAAATCTGTTCAGATTGACAGGTGTTCACTTTTCGATTTTTTTAACATAGAAGTCTATAATTAAATTTGTAGATTGCAAAAATCAGACCAAAATAAAGTGTTCACAATGAAAGGTGTTCTGATTTGACAGGTGTTCAGATAAAGGTTTCACTCTAATGTCATTTTTTACACTGCATGCATGACTTTACATACTGTAGATCAACTTAATAATACTCTGAAATCCAGTATACAATATATTGCCAATGATCTAATTAAAGGAATATCACTAAAAATGGAATAAAACTAGTAGCCCATCTCATAGCCCAGAGTCTCAATTCAAAAACACAAACGTTTTAGGATATACAACATGCAGAACCAGGTATTCTACGATAGATTGGCTCAACACTTAGTTCACAATAGTAGAAAAAGGTTGATGTGGCGTGTATGAAGATAATAATGCACTTTGCTAAGCTGTTCCACTTACATTTACCAAACCGCAGCCAAAAATATCTTACAAATCTCGGTCAGATTCAGAAAACTCACAATTCATCAGTTTCACTATAAATGGCTATAGCTGCGGATTTGTAATTTCTATTCAGCTATCTTGTTCAGTACAAGATGTGTGATTTGTGGACAATCTTTACTCCCAAGCAAAAATAAAACATTAAGACAAATCATTGGAAAGTCTGATCATTAATCAATATGGACTTATTCATTCATGGTAGTGCAAAGTGATGCCATAATTGCACCAACAAACTTCAAGAAATAAAGATTTCTGGTAGATATTCACTGAGATATTAAATAAATAAAAAAACCTGGTTCTACCCATTGTGATACACACAACCACTTTGTCTGGAACGTCCCAAAGAGTGGTAGATATGTTTAACATTATTGCTTTCATAAGAGTGGTCTTGTAAACCAGAATGGGTTCTACCCTTAAAATGCCTCTGGTAACTAGTCTATGGTCCAGGTAAAATACAGTTAAATCTATAAATCTGAACACTCTCTAATCTAAACATCTCTCTATGTCTTTTTTCAGCCCAATTTTTCCAATCTACAGTGGACTGCCATTTCAAAAACCTCGAAATGTGAACGCCTGCCAATCTGGATCGTTTGGTCCCAGAACAGTTCAGATTAGACATGTTTTACAGCACTTACTTTACCTTAATTTGCTTATAGAAAGCTTCTTAGCTAATACTACAACTTTGATAAGATGAACAGTCCCTACATACAATCTTTCCATACCAGTCTACTCTATTAACAGATCTTTCATTAGCAAATTGAGTGATTTACATTCTTGGACTTATGGAATATAGGTAACCTTCTATGCTTCAAACACCACTTCACCACTTTTAATGCGAGTGGAACACTGAGATCAAGTGAAACACTGAGATCAAGTGGAACACATAGATCAAGTGGAACACTGAGATCAAGTGGAACACATAGATCATTTTCTTCAGTGACTGTTGCTTGCTTAACTAATGATGATGATGATGATGATGATGAATGCCATTTCTGATTTAAGTTTCAATTGTTTGACTACTGAATATAATTGAGAGAAATGGCACCATGTAAGTGGAACATCCTTAATTCTGCCAAAAATGTTCTACTTGCA